CGGCGTGCGGATGGGGCCTTTGGCATTTGCCGCAGATCGGGAGGGCATGCCTGCTCGCATGCACGCTTGTTGTCTGGCAGTGTGGGGACTGCATGGACACGTCGGGCTTGGCCAGAACGTGTTGGCGCCGGTGGTTCAGCAGCGCGAGGATGCATGTGCGTGCAGGCGCCGGTACTTGGACAGCGCGTGGAAGGACGCACCCCGGGCCTGCCCTACCCCGGGCTGCGCCTGCATCCACCTGCCTTTCCCGGTGCGGCCCCATTCCCTTGCCCGTGCGGCCGCCCTTCCACATGCGACGCCCCCCTGCCCTTCGTGCGGTTCTTGCCTCCCAATGTATTCCCTTTTCCGCGCGGCTGCCCTGTGCTGCACCTGTCTCTCCATGGCCACTCCATGCGGATGCCATTACCCGCGCGGCGCACGCTTGCCTTCCAATGACCAAACCCATGCAGCCCCCCTTTCCCGCCGGGCGCCTGTCTCCCCGTGTCCTTCCCCGTGCAGCGCACTTGCGGGCTCCTTGCGGCCCACCGTGCAGTGCCTGCCTCCCCATGCCCTCCCCATGTGCTTGTCCTTAACCGCGCGGCGCTTGCCCCCATGCCCAGCTCCTGCTTCCCCATGCCCCCATTCCTCGTGTGGAAGCATACAGGCGGCGGTAGTTGGACAAAGCGGAGACAATGCCATAACTCGAACGGGGCAGGAAAGTTGGTGCATTTGCACCCGTACTTGGGCACGGCGGGACTGCTAGTTTGCATGGCACAGATGGTCTGGTAGGGTGGCAGGGTACATGCGCGGCGGCGCGGGTTTGTCCTTAAGCAACTGAGCTGCGTTACTGTACTGACAACAGCGGCGGACAGATGCGCGGCTGCTGTGTGGGCGACTGGTGACGACGGGGAGTTGTGTAGTAGTGCAGTGGTAGTAGGATCTGTACTCTAACGCACAGGTGTGCGCACCAGCATTCGGGCGGGTAGGGCGGGGTTTTGGCACTCCATCACCTGTACGCTTTGATATACTGCGTATTTCCTTGGCATCCTCAAGCCGCTTGTGCATCCTATCCGTTTGGTTGCTAGCAGCCTTGGCGACCATCGCTGCCACTTCTTGTGTGTTTCAATCCTCCTTCTGCATCCTCACGCCGTACATGCGTGCAACTGCATCTTTCTTCTCGACATCACCTCCCATTCCTACTCTTAGCCCATCCAGCTCCCTCCCGCGAGCTACGGGTAGCTCCCGCCGAAGGCGGGCCTTACTAGTTATTAATCCTGAGTTTCAGCGCCAACGGCGAAGGTCAATTTTGGGAGGTGTGACTTTGAACAGCCCCATGGGCCAGCTTCGAGCCCTCGCCAACCACATACCTCGAATTTCCAAGGTCAGAATCAGTGCTGACGGATCGTGTGGTACATAATATTATGTCTTTATGTGTATTGTTTATGCGATATGCGATGTAACACCAAGAAACACTCGTGTGGGAGTTGAACCCACAGGTGCTGCTGCACCTGGCCGTACGAGTGTGTCGTTGCTTGAGCAACGCTGACATTTTGCGCCTCCTTCACCTGCTTGTTAGTAAAAAAGGCGAGTAGATGCGTCCGCGGGATCTCGAACTCGCGATTCACTGCACGGGAATCACGCACACAGGGAAGAGCAGCTCTATGGTTTATGGCATTGGGAGGCAGCCGCCGCCGGGGAAGGGCAGGGGACACAAGCGCGCGCCGCGCGGGCAAAGACAGTCGCATGGGCAGGGGCATGGGGAGACAGGTAGGTACAGCGCGGGGAAGGGCATCCTGCACTGGGAAGAACTTACGCCGCGAGACACGCACTGCACGGTGAAGGGCACGGACACGAACACATTGCACGGTGAAGGGCAGAGGTAGCCATGCCCAGCACGGGTAACAGCCATTTTACTCGAGGAGCGTGCAATGACAGGATGGAGCAGGCGCCACGCGGGGATTGGAAAGTCATGGGGAGATTACTTGCCGTCTTGAAGAGCGACGTGATCTACGTCTACATTGAAAGGTGACCCGTTCAAGGACGTGGTACCCGCATTACGTTGGGGCACCGCTATACCCAAAACCCAAGCAAAGACGGCTACTGCATACCTCCTCAACCAAGCCAAATCCTACACGACTGCTAGCCAACATCGCGTCTCCATGCACTGACAACCACATTTCCTTGAACCGCGACAACGGATCTAGCGCCTTTACAAAACCTGCTTAAACGTCTTTCGCACGTGCTTTCCATGGTGCTCGCCTTGAAGGATCAAAGAGCGACTATCTTCTTAGGCTCTAACAGGCAAGTTTTAGGCTATTAAACAATCCCCACGTCCGTCTCCAACCGCATGTGCGAAGTAAAGGCGTCAGCAGGGCAAAGCAACGCGGTGCTGAGTTTGATACGGAGGTGCGCAACAATCCATGTCTTGTCACAGATATGTCTGAATCCGTTAAATTGAAGTCCCGTGTATATCCAGACAAGCCGACGATGAACGACCGCCGACGCGACAAGTTACAGATTAATCGAACCACAGAGTGCTCTTCCTGTTGTTTCTCTTACCATTTCGCTCGTTTACCACTTCGCTCGTTAACCTATTTGTTTCCTGTAGTAGCGACGTGCTATAGCGACGCGATGCGCTGAAGCGAACGAACTTGAACCTAGAACGACCCGTGGGACTATGGACGGGACGAGCACGAATATTGCGTTCCCTGGAGCGTTACGCGGAATGCCTATGCTTCCCTTCGCTTCGCTCCTCCGAAACCGCATACTGCGTATATACGTTTTCTTCGTTTCGAGCTACGGGGACATGAACAGCCTGCCAGATCATGGACAATATTGACGCCGTGACGGTGCAACAGTGTGGGTGCTGCCGGGGCGGCGGCGAGGGAGAGGGGCGCCGCTCGGGCCAGGCAGGCGCGCAGGTGGGCGAGGGAGGCGGCGACGAAGCTGGCGAAGGTGTGGTTGGCCACCTGAAGGGCAGCAGGGGGGGAAGGAGGGGGGCGGAGGAGGAGGGGGTGGATAGCAACAAACGCTTCCTCGGACACGAGAACATGATCCGACTACTTCCGCGCATTGGTTGCTTGCCGTGGCACCGCCCTTTCCACTGCATCGCCCTGCCACTCCCCCAACCGTAGTCCTGTACCCCACCCCCTCCCCACCTCCTCCCGCCCTACCAGCTTGTGGAAGGGCAGGTGGCGGGAGCGCTGCTGCTCCAGGAAGCGGCTGACGGCACGCTGCACCGGGTCTCGCAGCACCGCGATGAGCTGTGGAGGGAGGGAAGGGAAGGGAGGAGAGGGGGGGCGGAATAAGCAGTGAAACACAGTCCCAGGGAGGAAAGGGGGAGGGGAGAGGGGCAAAGAAGCATGCCATGCGTTGAATGGCAACACACTAGGGGTGGCACGCTCCTGGTGGAGGGAAACGAGTGATTGGAGCCGAACGTGCGGTGTTGGCGAATTGGGAAAAAGGGCAGGGCAGGGAGGAGAAGCAGGGGAGCGAAAGGGGGTAGGGGTAGGGTTGGGGAGGGCTATGCGGTCAACCGTGCATGTGCGGTGCAAGGGTAACTGACAGCTAGGGGCTACACATAGCCTTGCGCGTACCTTCATCTTTGGATTCAACGTTTTGAGCGACAGCGGGCAACACAAACAAGAGTGGTTGACCAGTCCCCGACCAATAGCTTGTCGTACTCCGCTGTACTATTATTTAGCTGCGAGTCGTGTCGCATCAACTCATGTTGCTGTCCTTCCTGCTGCTGCTCATGATGTTGCTGCCGCTGCATGGCCACTCGCGCCTGGTAGTCCTCTACGTGAGCATCGCATAGCGTGGTGTGGGAAAGGGGGCCGTTGAACCAGAATACCTCCTGCATGTTGGGCAAAAATGCTACGAGGTGAGTCGAAATGTTGCGAATTTGTACAAATTACAGCATAACGCGAACTAATTATGCGCACACTGGCAGTTTTAGGGCAGCGACAGAGCCAAAGTGTGATATCGGCATGCATGGCATGGTGTGACCCCTATGGCGGGATGGATGGCTTGAACAATAAGAGTATGTATACTTGGGAATTTCTGTAGGGACCTAACTACGGGCAAATGTTTATGAGCACGACGGTACAGCTTATGCATTCAGCGACATTTAGGACCATGTTTGCTACACCTCTTTCCTGCTGACAGGAACCCACTGGAACTCTTACATGTCACTTGAGTTTAGTTTCTTACCTTGGAGCCGCCCACCCACTTAATCTGAGGGTGCGTAACCATGACATTCCATAGAGTGCTGGTCCCGCACTGCAGGGTTGAAAGGATGAAGACAGGTTGCAAAAGACCTCAACGGTAAGGATATCATGAGACATACGCACGAAGGGCAAAGTGAGAGGTGTAGCATTTGGGCATATCCACCTGTCGCCATGCTAACTTAAATTCGGTGGGAGTCCAAAGGACAATCCAGTAATAGCAGGAAGCTATTTTATTTCCTTTTCGTATGAGCTAGTATGCGTCTTCTAGGGCAGGCACTAGGCGCCTTGCGTACCTTTTGCTGACGGATGACAGCATACTCCATAGGTTTGTATAAAGCCGCATAATTTGAGTATGAAGTGTTAAGCCTTATGAAGCTATAGCAAGAGCGCAGCAAAGCACATAGCAAAGTCGCACGTAACCAGCGGCAAGTATAAGGCATTTGCCTTCTCCGCATGCACAACAGCTCAGAAGTGGCTTGTGTGCAGGTCAATAAAAATGGTATGACATAGTGCACATGCAGAAGATTGAAATGAATCGCGGAGCGAGAAGTTGGAGGGCCGCAACCATCGTGGCGACAAACCCTGTACGGAAGACCTCGGCTCCCAGTCCTACGTTTAATATAAGCGTCTGCTTTAACAGGCTGCTTGGGCTACTTCCGGGCGCGGACATAGTCGGACGCGGACATAGTCACGTAGGTTCGGTATGCTGACTTTCACCTTCTGGAAGGCATGTTGACATAACTCCTGTTCCGGGACTATCCAAGGCAATCCCACGGCCAAAAACATATTCAATGATGATGGAAGCGTTACACCAGAGCGCAGGCTAGTATACCCAATGAATCCCAAACAAGCAACGTCTGTCCTATTTGTCTTGCCCGCCCGCCTAGTACCAGGCGCCCTTGAAGGCCTCCGCGCCGTTGAACCAAGGGAACAACCTTGAGGATACCCCCAACAGATTAACCCTAAGCTTCTGCCCACTTAGGCATAATAATCACAGACCCATCCTTAATGATCACAGATCCTGTGTGATTTCATGTTATTATTACATTGCAAATGCGTTACTAAACACTGCTGTACCTCGCCGTGGAGCACAGCGAGCATCCTTCACGACGAGCGCTGTAACCAGTAAACAAAACAAGCGCCGTCCCAGAGAGCTGTAGCCCCTTGGTTGGCCTGCAAATACCGGTACCTACTCGTGCGTGTCACACCGACCAGAACATAGGATCACAGGCACGGTTCGTCAAGAGCAACAGGAACAGACCGCCAGGAAACCGGTGAATAGCTGTACAGCAAGGAGGCTGCTTGAGGACACTGTCCGATCACGTAACGTCTACCCATTAATTCAACAGTTGGTGGGCGTTTCAAACACACAAACCGGGATTTGTATGGGTCATCTACCTGTTCCAACTCGCATGCATCTGCTCGGCCAACCTCGCAAAACCTGGATAGCAATATTATCTCAGTCCAAATTGGCACAGCAATCAACACATTAAGTCAACAGGAGGCGGTTGCCTATGCAGCACCGTAGCATTAAGACACATGAACATAATTAGGTTTTCCCAAAATGACCATGCATTTTCCATTCTCTGTGCCATTATCCTGTCAGACATTGAAGTAAGACCTAGATTCTTGAATCCGAACATACCTATACTTCCCGCTTACCAACAATCATCCCGGTGTCCTTACAAAGCAAAAGCACGAGCCATGGCATCGACTAGTACAACACTAACCGGCCCTACTTAGCTAGCTAGCCGGTCAACAAAAAGGGGCATCATTGCTACCATGAGGCTTCACTCTGGACAGACACGTCGTGGCACCGTTTGCAGGAATGCAAACACAGCGGTATAGTTCTCAGAAAAAGCCACTGGGTGGATTCGGGTGTGTCCACTCGGGGCAAGGTTCGCAACCAAATGTTTCGCAAAGGGCATCGCATGAAAAGCGACTACCACGATTTTTTGAACGTAATCAAAAGGATTACTGAGCGACATGACTAGGTATCCCATGGCACGTTGACGAATGAATAACCTGAATATTGTATCAGTAATAAATCACTGCCATTCGTAAAACCATACTCGCACAACCCAAACACGCAAGATTGAGACCATTTATCCACTGCATGTCCACTTATTAACAGACAGTCAGCCCCTTTATCTACACACGCCAGGCAAAAACAAAGTCGTTCTTTATCCTGTTGCAAAAGACTAACACCTACAATCCCAGTACAAGCGCCACGACATTTCAGCAGGATTTGTTAGAGGTGTGGCTACATTACGTTCAGCATCTCCTCTAGTTGTACGGCAACCTCCCTGAAGGTCGGGCGACATTGTGGATCGAACGCTAGACACGCTGTTACCAGCTTGGCGTATGGCACATGCGTTGATGCGACTATGTCCTGTTTGGGCAATTGCAAAAAAGAAAGAAACACTTATAAATAGAACTGCGATCAATCCGATAATGTTGCTTGGGCTGCCTTTACAGTTCATTCTGGGTGAAACTTTCCACCTACCAAGTGCCAGGCATTGTTGGGTCCATTACCCACGCCTTTACTTGCTTACCTGTAATAGGGTCAGGGGAAACGATGGCAGCTGCTGGGCCAAGCCATCGCCCCCGCTTGGCGCACCCTCGGATTCCGCAGCACCGGCACATGCCTGCAATGCCGCCATGTCTGCTAGCGCGCAGCCGTAGTAGAGCTCCAACAGCAACATCCCAAAAGACCAAACATCCGCACGAGGTGATGCCCGGCCGCCCACAGCAACCTAAGAAGGGAGAGAACGTACTGTGACGTGGGTACTCGCTCGTAGCCATACAAACCTACCACGACAATTACAAACCAGATGCCAAACTCAAGTGTGAAGCTCTACCAAAAACAACATGAATACCCAAAAACATAACACGCGTCCTGACAACTTGCATGGCTGATCGCCTCGACCCCGGCGTTTCTACCCAACCTGCATGGATCTCAATTGCCCGCCGACCCACCTCGGGAGCCTTGTAATCAGGAGTTCCCTGGAAGCGCTGCGAGGCGTGCGTGGCTCCTTCGGGCAGCGGCAGGCTGAGGCCGAAATCCGCCACCTTGGCCGTCAGCTGCAGCTGCACCACTGCACTCATAGCGTCTGTGTCGTCTTCGGAGGGTGCGAAGTTGCCCACACCCGCCGCTGCCGCCACCACCAGTGCATGACACAGCTGCTTCGGCTGTTGTCCCACCCATGGTTTGGCTGCTCCGTCTTGCTCTGCCTCTTCAGGAGGTTCAGTTCGGGGGCCTTTAACCAGCAGCACATTGTCTGGACGGGTACGGGCGCACGAGATAGGCAGCGTAAGCGTAAGCGTCTGAACAGCAATGCTTGGGCATTACCGATACTCGCAGTCCAGCTCCCTTCCGAGCACTTATGTACACACTTGGGAAGTCAAAATTGTCCCTTTGAAAGCACACTAGTCACATTGTTAGCTCATCAAACGCGGTTATGACCCTCAATCATGCTCCTTACACACGCACCCGGCTTCAGGTCTCCATGCACGATGCGGCGGCTGTGCATGTGCCGCATACCCTGCGCCACATCCAGAGCGAGGCGCAGGGCAAGCATCTTGAACAGCCCACCAGCACGCACGCTGCCAGCCATGCCGAGCTCTGAGATCACGGGACGGGGTAGAGTAAAAACTGCTTAGGATTTGTTACGAAGGAAAGATGTGCCGGCATCAGCAGGGCCAACCCTGTCAGACTACAGGCCACCTTCCCAGCAAAAGGCCCAAAACTACACACGCGTACAGACTGTAACTGTAACTTTCCAGACCCTGCCATGCACAGCCGTACCAAGAGCTTGACGAAGTGTGCCAGCATTGCATAGCTCTTGCACTATGTACAGCTTGTAGGCATCCACCGTCATCACCCCCTCCTCACGACCACCGGAGCTGGAGGGGGCAACAGCTTCAGACGGGCTGCCTCCTCTCTGCTGGGCTCCAGCCACCTCCACTGGCACGCCCTCAGCCGAGCTTGCGGCTGAGGAGCTCAGGACGGATATGCGCGGCCCATGTACAAGCGGCTTTACCTCGTAGGTGTAGGTAGCTGCAGGGGTGTGGTGGTACCCAGAAGATGAAGCATCGTTGATAAGATACAAGCTAGGATGGACAAACACCGTACGGTGGTAGTAAGAAGGTCTCCAGCTCGGATTGGGTTAGGAGCTCTAAGTACCGTACCTGTGTCTGATCACCGCGCAGCAGGAAATTTACGGATTATTTTATTTAACGCGCAGCGCTGTAAGGAATTTATTTTTGTAACGCGCAGGGGTCTGAGCAATTATATTCCACTTCGCGCAGCCTTTAAAGTAGTCCTGTATTATCCTAAAGCTTACACTAGAAAGACCGGAAAGCAGAGCAATGGAAATGCAGACACCCAAAGCTATGGTTCAGATCGGGTGAGGGTATGGATGGGGCCAAGAAAAGAGTGAAACCCGGAACTTGGGGGCCACACCACGGGCAATTTTTCAGTAAACGCGCAGTCCTTTGGGGAATTTAATTTTTTAACGCGCAGGCCCCGGACCAATTATTTAAATTTGCGCGTTAATGCACATTTCTCCTAATAATTATTTTATTTTTGCGCGATGATCACTGGGAGGTACGGTATATACGGCCTCCGTAGCAGAACTGCGGTTCGGTCCCGCCCTGCATGGCGGCTGCGCAATACCGAACTGGCAGCTCGCGGATTCCGTGACAGGCGTTCCTTTTGGTGCCGTTCTGCTACCCCAACTCACCTACGATGTTGGGGTGTGTCAGGCTCATGGAAATGGCCGCTTCCAGCACTGCCCAGTGCCTTGAGCACCCGGCGCCTTCCTGCCCAACGACAGCGTCTGATGACACCACCAGTGTTTTTATCGCCACCGGCAGGCCCCGCCATGTGCCACTGTAGACCACACTGGACGCACCCCGACCCAGCAGAGAGTGCACCTCCAGCTGCGGATCGCCTAACTTGGCCTGAAACGCGCAAGAGACAAGAGGATGCGTTTATGGCATGGAGACAGCACCATGCGTGCACCGCAAAGGGCCCGAAGAGTGCCTCTTTGGTGGCATGCATGCAGGTCTCTGGGACGCGTGCGTCTCTGGGGCCCATGCCTACTCAGCCGAGTAAGCCACGGTGACGGAAAATGCAGCGAGTGGGGACAGCAATCCAACCCGAACCGGTATCAAGTGGCTCCGCTATCAGCTACCCCATACCTGAATGGCGGTTACTTCACCCTGCACGGTCCGTCGTGCACCTGGAGCCCGGCGGTGCATGCAAGCCCCGGCAGTAGTTTGGTCGAAATTGCGTTGAGCATTACTGGGCTCCTTAAAACCACATATACCCAACACACTTCCCACTTGCTGGTCCTCAGTGTTGCCCTTCAGGACTTTGTCAGACAGTGTGTTGTAATATACCTGCAAATGGAGCACAAGCAGTACAGGGGGAATCATACCGCACGTATGTGCTGTTAGGCGGTTCACAGGAACAACATGCTTGCATCCAGGTAAGGCCGATGAAGGTCTACGGCTTACCAGCAGTTTACTGAGGTAAGCGCTGGCGTTTACGGCGCCCAAACTTGATGACTTGTCATGGCAGCAAGGCATGACTTGAGCGGAAGTAGGTGGGCAACCGCCACCTGCCACTGCTGCCTTGGAGGTACGACTAACAGCCAGGCGGTTTGTCTGGCAAGGATTTGCAACATGCATAGCCACAAGTCATCAATGGAGCTTGGGGTTATGGTTGAAGGGTTGAAGAGACGTGCCAAGCCGGAAAGTAAAATAGACAATGAGAGCCAACAGGGGCGTAGATGGCTTGGCCACACTAGTCAAGAGTCAGCATGCAAGAAGGACCGAGGTAACTTTCAAGCTGTAGGCTTTATACACCAGGGTTTTATCGTATGTGAAACGCCCGGATACCAGCCCAAAGCCATAAACCCTACCTCCAGAAAGCAAGAAACACCGCCTGGTGCCGGGACGTCACTCCCAGAGGTGCCTGTCTCCTCCCTGTTTATCACTTTAGAGGGATCGGAGACGCTACCAGAGATGGTAGCGCCTATGGGATGTTTCTGTTGCCCTGATGCGGCTGCCATTGCTGCCTTTCTCAGCAACACTGCAAACGTGTCATCACAATTCCTGCTTTGACCAGCCCCACCGCTGCTGCTGACACCTAAACCAAGTCCTGCGCTGAGGCATGTACCCAGGTCCTGTCCATGTTCAGGAGTGCTACTGTCGCACGGGCATGCACAGCTTGCTGTAGGCCCAGACAATAGCCGCGTGCTGTCCTTGCGACCATGCCGCTGCTCGTCCCCCTTCGGTGTCACCACAGAAACAGCCCCCGTGGCAGGCGCCAAAGCTGCAGCTGCAGTGGCTCGGCGTCGCTTAGTTACCATGAAGAAGGTAACTGCAAGCAGGGAGAGGAGTAGGAGACCAACAACACCGGCAAGGCAGCTTGCCAATGGTACCACCCAGGCAGGGCGGCTGCTGCTTCTCCCTGGCGGCATAAGCTCTATGAGCGGCGGCCGTCCTGGTGTTTGTGGTGGCCAGTAGTGCTTGCTACCAGACTTGACAACAGGTTCCGGTCCTGCATACACTGAAGGAGTACTGGGCGGCATGATGTACGGCTGGAGTGGGGCCTTCCTACCAAGACCTGATCCGTACAGTGATGGCGGAGTGGTAGGCGATGCGTCGGGGGACAGCGTGAAATCGACTGTTACGTTGAGCTCCATTTCTGCAACCAGGTAGGTAGGTATAGTTACAATGGGCTTATGTTTATACACGCAGGTTGCTAGGTTAGGGGATCAGGCGCGGTTCGGTTCATGGAACAAGCTGACGAAGGGCTGGTGGGCTTAGCTGGGAAAGGTGCAGGCCAAACACAACTTGCCGAGGAAGTGAAGTATCCCGTAAAGTTCATTGCGGTTTGCATGTCAGCCAGTCAGTCAGTGTCTACACCCGTTACCGTTAACTCTCAAAATAGGTCAAGGTCATATATGTGATGTATCAAGTGTACGAATGACATACACCTGCTTTGGATGAGTTTCAGGAGGCAGCCGCCGTACCAGCAAGCTCCTGATATGGCAGGATGAGCGGCGGGTACAGTAACGTGCGTGCACTGCTTGGGGCATCAGATGGCATCTCGCACGTCACCGTCACGTTGGTTCCGACCCAACCATAGTGCTGTGCAACTGCCAGGACCAGCACTCGGGAGCTGTAACTATACGAGAGAACCTGCGAGGCAGAAAGGCGTGTTTGGAACATCAGGGATGCCCAGGCAAGAGGTTTTTTTATAACGGCAGCAAACATGTTACTGGCTAACGGCTAACATCGACTACCGAAATCATTAAAGCAAGCAGTGCCATGGAAGCGATCGTGGGCATGCCAATCCACTGCTTGTCCGTGATGCGCACACCTTACCAGCAGAGTGGCTGCCCACCAGCCGTACACCCACTACCCAACAAACTAAAGTAACCAAGGAACCAAGGAACCAAGGCGGGACCATTGGGCATCCTGCTGTTGCTCACCTGTGCTGCAGCAGCGAATTTCAATATTGCTGCTCTAGTAGTGTACACATAAGGTGGTGAAGGTGGTGGCAATGGGGGTCGTGGTGGGACGGGGGGCCATGGTGGTGGTGGTGGTTGTGGTGGTGGCGATGGCGGCGGTGATGGGGGCTGTGGTGGTGGTGATGGTGGCCGTGGTGGATGTGGTGGCCGTGGCGGATGTGGTGGGGGCGATGGCCATAATGGTATGGACGGAAACGACGGCATGGATGGGGTCCATGGCTGGTACGGGGGAAATGGTGGTGGTAACGAAGAAGGTGCAGTTGGTGGTAGCGGTGGTTCCTCGTACATGTGCGCGCCCGGGGCTCCTGCAGGTATATGTTCAAAGTTAGCCACACAAATAGAAATTATTGTTAGGACCGTCTATCGTCACAGACGCTGGGCTGGCTCAGGACAAACTACACATCTGTGCATCACTGGCTGGTAAGCATCAAGATTGCACTGGCCATTGAAATGGCAAAGGGCTAAAATTCCGGTAAGACAAGTGCGTCTGGAGACATCGGCATTGGCCCTGGCAAGAATCCCCTTTCGATTTGAGCAGTCCGGAGGCCCAAAGGTATGTAATCGGCATACAGAACCCCTTATAAAAGCAACAACATGTACAGAGGCTGTTGTCAGTTGGCTGTCCCGTTGCCCCCGCCCAGCACAGCTTACCAGACAAAACCCTCCGTGCATTGCGATACGCCCTTGGAAGTGACGAGACTTGGTCTGCAGTCAGCCCTGCACTGCCCTTATTAGCTGGTCCATTTTTACGTGCACCAGCCCCTACTGCCACCTCTTTCTGCATTTCCCCCTGCTGCTGTTTCTGTGGCTTGTGAGATGATCGCAGGAGCGGTTCACGAGCTTGCTTCATAAGCTGCCTCTGTCGTCTGTTAGATGCAGCAGCGGGCGGAGACAATACCGGCTGCGCGGGGCCATGCCGCAGCAGTACCGCAGCTGCCAGCACCCGCCACTCGAGTTCCGAAACCACGAGAGTCACATTTTGGAGCACCAGCAGCGGGGATGATTGGGACTGCTGTGGGGCGCCGGCTGCACCACTGCTGGGTCCTCTTCTAGCCATCCGGAAGAACCACAGCGGCAGGGAGCTGTTGGCCCAGGCTGCATCAGCGCCCTCCAGCTGAGGGGCGGCCGAAGCTGACCCAGGCTGACTAGTGCGGGTGCTGTTTCCGCTGGCATCAGTGTCGCTGCTATCATCAGACCCCGGCAGCGGGTACATGCCGCCCGGAGCCAGGTTGTACAGCACCAGGTTCCGGAGCGTGATGGGCCGCTGCAGCTCAACACGGCCGATGGCACCCTGAGGGTATAGCGTCCGTAAACCCAGATCAGTTGAAAGGACGCGTACAGGTCGTCACAATTTTATCGTGCATGCATGCATGCGTTGATAGATACTCTTCGAAGGGGGCGAAGGGGGCTTCGGTCTTTGCGGATGGTGCCCCCTACTCCTAGGCTGATAGCTTCCTGCGCGGTGTACTGCACAGTCCACCCATCTGCCCTGAGTAGTTCAGCAAGTCGTTTGTGCTGTTCGGCCTTTGATGCTGTTTGTTGGCGTGTCTTAAGTCTCCCGCGTATCCTATTTCGAGGATGTGGATAGTGTGAGCCTTAGGGTTTCATGGTCGCTTCCAGGGGTTCCACAGTGCGGTATTGCTGGCTGGTAGGCCCTGTACGATGAGAATGTCTGGTCTCAATTTACCCCACTCTCTCTCGTCGGTGGATGGGGGTCGCAGCCATTCGGGGAGGCGTTTCCCCGCTATGTAGTCCGGGAGATCTTCTTCCTTTCCAGCATCCATGACCATGCAACTCCCGCCGAGCTTCCCCTTGTGTATGGTGTCCGCTATGATGCGGACAGCCCCATCGTGTCTCGTACAGTACAGTGCATGCGCGGGTCTTACTGCGGGTCTTACTGCGAGTCTTACTGCGGGTCTTACTGCGGGTCTTACTGCGGGTCTTACTGCGAGTCTTACTGCGGGTCTTACTGCGGGTCTTACTGCGGGTCTTACTGCGAGTCTTACTGCGGGTCTTACTGCGAGTCTTACTGCGGGTCTTACTGCGAGTCTTACTGCGGGTCTTACTGCGAGTCTTACTGCGGGTCTTACTGCGGGTCTTACTGCGGGTCTTACTGCGGGTCTTACTGCGGGTCTTACTGCGAGTCTTACTGCGGGTCTTACTGCGGTCTTACTGCGAGTCTTACTGCGGTCTTACTGCGGGTCTTACTGCGGGTCTTACTGCGGGTCTTACTGCGAGTCTTACTGCGAGTCTTACTGCGGGTCTTACTGCGGGTCTTACTGCGGGTCTTACTGCGGGTCTTACTGCGAGTCTTACTGCGGGTCTTACTGCGGGTCTTACTGCGGGTCTTACTGCGGGTCTTACTGCGAGTCTTACTGCGGGTCTTACTGCGGGTCTTACTGCGAGTCTTACTGCGGGTCTTACTGCGAGTCTTACTGCGAGTCTTACTGCGAGTCTTACTGCGGGTCTTACTGCGGGTCTTACTGCGAGTCTTACTGCGGGTCTTACTGCGAGGTCTTACTGCGGGTCTTACTGCGGGTCTTACTGCGAGTCTTACTGCGGGTCTTACTGCGGGTCTTACTGCGGGTCTTACTGCGGGTCTTACTGCGAGTCTTACTGCGGGTCTTACTGCGGGTCTTACTGCGGTCTTACTGCGGGTCTTACTGCGGGTCTTACTGCGGGTCTTACTGCGGGTCTTACTGCGGGTCTTACTGCGGGTCTTACTGCGGGTCTTACTGCGGGTCTTACTGCGAGTCTTACTGCGAGTCTTACTGCGGGTCTTACTGCGGGTCTTACTGCGGGTCTTACTGCGGGTCTTACTGCGGGTCTTACTGCGGGTCTTACTGCGGGTCTTACTGCGGGTCTTACTGCGGGTCTTACTGCGGGTCTTACTGCGGGTCTTACTGCGGGTCTTACTGCGGGTCTTACTGCGAGTCTTACTGCGGGTCTTACTGCGGGTCTTACTGCGGGTCTTACTGCGGGTCTTACTGCGAGTCTTACTGCGGGTCTTACTGCGAGTCTTACTGCGGGTCTTACTGCGAGTCTTACTGCGGGTCTTACTGCGAGTCTTACTGCGGGTCTTACTGCGGGTCTTACTGCGGGTCTTACTGCGAGTCTTACTGCGGGTCTTACTGCGGGTCTTACTGCGGGTCTTACTGCGGGTCTTACTGCGGGTCTTACTGCGGGTCTTACTGCGGGTCTTACTGCGGGTCTTACTGCGGGTCTTACTGCGGGTCTTACTGCGGGTCTTACTGCGGGTCTTACTGCGGGTCTTACTGCGGGTCTTACTGCGGGTCTTACTGCGAGTCTTACTGCGGGTCTTACTGCGGGTCTTACTGCGGGTCTTACTGCGGGTCTTACTGCGGGTCTTACTGCGGTCTTACTGCGGGTCTTACTGCGGGTCTTACTGCGGGTCTTACTGCGGGTCTTACTGCGGGTCTTACTGCGGGTCTTACTGCGGGTCTTACTGCGGGTCTTACTGCGGGTCTTACTGCGGGTCTTACTGCGGGTCTTACTGCGGGTCTTACTGCGGGTCTTACTGCGGGTCTTACTGCGGGTCTTACTGCGGGTCTTACTGCGGGTCTTACTGCGGGTCTTACTGCGGGTCTTACTGCGGGTCTTACTGCGGGTCTTACTGCGGGTCTTACTGCGGGTCTTACTGCGGGTCTTACTGCGGGTCTTACTGCGGGTCTTACTGCGAGTCTTACTGCGGGTCTTACTGCGGGTCTTACTGCGGGTCTTACTGCGGGTCTTACTGCGAGTCTTACTGCGGGTCTTACTGCGGGTCTTACTGCGGGTCTTACTGCGGGTCTTACTGCGGGTCTTACTGCGGGTCTTACTGCGGGTCTTACTGCGGGTCTTACTGCGGGTCTTACTGCGGGTCTTACTGCGGGTCTTACTGCGGGTCTTACTGCGGGTCTTACTGCGGGTCTTACTGCGGGTCTTACTGCGGGTCTTACTGCGGGTCTTACTGCGGGTCTTACTGCGGGTCTTACTGCGGGTCTTACTGCGAGTCTTACTGCGGGTCTTACTGCGGGTCTTACTGCGGGTCTTACTGCGAGGTCTTACTGCGGGTCTTACTGCGGTCTTACTGCGGGTCTTACTGCGGGTCTTACTGCGGGTCTTACTGCGGGTCTTACTGCGGGTCTTACTGCGGGTCTTACTGCGGGTCTTACTGCGGGTCTTACTGCGGGTCTTACTGCGGGTCTTACTGCGGGTCTTACTGCGGGTCTTACTGCGGGTCTTACTGCGGGTCTTACTGCGGGTCTTACTGCGAGTCTTACTGCGGGTCTTACTGCGGGTCTTACTGCGGGTCTTACTGCGGGTCTTACTGCGGGTCTTACTGCGGGTCTTACTGCGGGTCTTACTGCGGGTCTTACTGCGGGTCTTACTGCGGGTCTTACTGCGGGTCTTACTGCGGGTCTTACTGCGGGTCTTACTGCGGGTCTTACTGCGAGTCTTACTGCGGGTCTTACTGCGGGTCTTACTGCGAGTCTTACTGCGGGTCTTACTGCGGGTCTTACTGCGGGTCTTACTGCGAGTCTTACTGCGAGTCTTACTGCGGGTCTTACTGCGGGTCTTACTGCGGGTCTTACTGCGGGTCTTACTGCGGGTCTTACTGCGGGTCTTACTGCGAGTCTTACTGCGGGTCTTACTGCGGGTCTTACTGCGGGTCTTACTGCGGGTCTTACTGCGGGTCTTACTGCGGGTCTTACTGCGGGTCTTACTGCGGGTCTTACTGCGGGTCTTACTGCGGGTCTTACTGCGAGTCTTACTGCGGGTCTTACTGCGGGTCTTACTGCGGGTCTTACATGCGCGGGTACTAACGCTCCATCCGAACAAAAGCCCTACCGGCTGTACCATGCAAGCTGCAAGGAGGCCTGCACGCGCCAATGCGTGCTCAGATGCAAAACTAAGTACAGGCCATGTCCTTCTATTGCTTGCTTGTGGGTACGGTATCTAATTAGTAACCTATAGCACGCAGAGGCCAAGTGCAATTACCCAAGGTAAGTTCTGCATATCGTGGTGTGCATGCTACCGTGTCGTGATATTAGGACGCATTAGCTCAGTATAGGGAAACTCATGATGGCGCATGCATGTATCACCTGGAGGTTGACGAACGTGCGGCTGCCCACCAGCTGCTGTGGATAACCCGTAACAATACATTCGCCAGGGGATGCCTGCGGTCCACCATTTAGGACCTGGGTTGTGTTGACATCCTCCCCCGCAGCTGCAGAAGACGATATAGCAGGGATGCTTTGGTCGTCGCACCTATGTGAACGGGGATTTGAAAGATATCGGCTGTTCAGTTAGGTTGGTCAGGTGAGGCACCAGGTTCAGGCCACGTGGCAGCATAACACGTTGATAACACGTAGAATCTCTGGACGGCAGATATGCATATCTAAAGGCATCCGCAGGGTTGAAGTCAACTCCAATTCCTAGGTAAGACCTTCCCCCCTCACCCAGTCCCATCCATCAATCAATGCAGGCCCGCAAGCAGCCAGCAGCAGAACCTACTGTGTAATGGCGGTAACTGGTGACCTTTCCGGCAGTGCCCCACATGTCGAGTCAAGGCTGGACAAGGCAGCCTGCAGACTTGGACTGAGGGCCAGTCCTAGCGGTCCCTGTAATCCCATTGAAGACCGGAAACCGTGATGGCGTCTTCTTAGGCAAGCAAATAATGGTCTGCCTCGGATTGACAGCTGGACACTAAATAAAGGCATGCATTAGGGGGAAACTAAACACTTGGTAGGCATTTACCATACACCGACACATCCTTACCCATTGCGCTGCCGTCTCCACGTCCCCATGCAGCACCTCAGGCGGCCACACAAAAGACTGTGGTAACAGTGGCAAGGCACCAGGAAGCGTCGAGTAGTAGCTGGCAGACATCAGGGTGCAGTTAACCAGCGAAACCTATGCAGGGAGGGGAAGGATGCGGGAAAATATATTTTTTTAAACTGAAACTCGATTAGCGGAGCGCGGCATGAGCGAGGTGAAAGCAACAAGGGCAAGCTGGCTGCTATCGTACCTAACTTATCGTCAGCTGCAGCTCGTGCACACGTACCTCTGACCTAAACCGGGTTGCTAGCGCGGCAAACAAAGGGAGGTAGGATGCATGAGCCCAAACAAGGCACAGAAAGTCGTTGCTTTATGGCCAACGACATAAAAACCACCTACCTGGGATCCCAACAGAAGGCTGTTAACTTGCAGCTGACCCCCAGCAGCCGACCCTGCCGGAAGCTATCGCCGTTGTAGACAGGTGATGCAACCAAAAGAGAATGAAAGGGGGAGGGGAAAGGGTAGCGAATCGTAAGGGGGATCATGCTTGGCCAAGAGGATGCCCATTAATAGGATGCAGCACATGTGCCTGCTGTGCAGCGGCAGGGCTGTATGTGGGTGTTCATAGAGTTGCCAGCAAGGCACGTTTGCGGTATCCTGAAATGAAGAGCAGAGCAGGACATGACCAGCAATTCGTATGTGGCGGACAGCTGCAGCGTACTTGCTTGTTCGGCTGGTAACACTTGGAGCTACCCGGGTGCCAGGTTCAGTGGAGGTGGAGCACGTGTTGGGGCTCATAACACGGTTGTCTTGCACTTTGGGAACAACCTTTCCGGAAGAACGGCAACCTGAGTCACCTGGCCTTAAAACAAACATACCTGGATGTCAACATTAGTGAACAGCACTCCAAGATCTCCATGTGACGCTGATGTTGTCGTGCCGTTCCCCCTCCACATTACTGATTGCCCTAAGAATGCGATTTCCTGGTCTGGAATGACAAGTGTGCAGCGCTTGAGGACCACCTGTGGAGGACCCACGGCCTGGGGATTCCTGGATGCGTGCAATATTAAAGCAAGGGAGTTGTGGAGTTAGCTACCGAAGATGCCCCTTGAGCTGACAGTCATTGCAATAATCACCAACGCACTGTAATGGCTTGACATGCATCGTGCAGCGGGAACGATGTAAGGTGCACGCATACGGTATCATACTCAGTTCCAATCCATCTGGTCTGCTGGTTTGGGCCCTTCCATTTGTCAGTCAGTCATGCTGATCCCTCAGCTTACCTGTTCACCAGGAAACTTTGCAAGCTGATGGCTAGAAGGCTACCGGCTTCCTGAACTGGCTGTGTAGAGTAGGGCAAGTTGACTAGCCATATGTCACTTAGCTGCATCACTGTTGATGTTGAGGTTTCAGGACCGTACGCTGCTGCCTCGATACTGGGTGGAACATAACCCCTAACATCAACGCCGGTGTAATCGATAATCCAGGCGCCTTCAAACCCATTCAGGTCCAGGGCTGTGGTCCGATTGGGATCCCCCAGCATCACCACCAATGATCCGTAATCCAGCCTCCCCTGCACATAAGGGGTAGAATTTCGGGAACAAGTAAGCCACTGTGGAGTGCAGAAAGCCCCACAGCTTTCACAATGAGCTCCTAGAATTCTCAGGACATACCTACATACAACTGTGGTGCGTTAACCCGTGCGCATAAATGCCGGCATGCATGCTTGGGGGCTACCTCAAGCACTGGAGAGACACTTTCCAACATGCATCTCCAGCAGTGCACCCAATTGCTACATGCATGTGAAGCCCCAGCCAAAAGCCATGCAACCCCAGACCGCTAATAGTCATTTCTCCTGCTTACCCGCCTCCAGTGGTCCCAATTGTCACCTTTGGAGAGCCTTACATCGGCTACCAGTGACAAAAACAATGTTTCACAAGTGAGGTAGTTACACGCCTGTTCCAGTTTGGTATCGTACAAGTCCATGTCTGTTGACGCCATTTTTGCCCCCACTGCTGGAATAAATTGCTCATCGACACCTGGAATTCCTCTCAATGTGACATCCAGCCACTGCACCTGACCGCCTGCTGTGTTCGGGTCGTTGTCATCCCCATCAATCGCCAGGGCTGAGGTGGTAAGGCTTGCAATGTGGATTACATTGTTGGTGATGTTCACTGTCGTGCTGTATGGCCATACGCTGACTGCACGACCCAGTTTGGACAGATAGGTGTGCATATCGGCAGATGACAGCACCAGTGTCACATCCTGGAGTTTCAGGGTGGCCCCTCTGGGGACTTGGACGAGGCCAGGGATTGAAAGACGGGTGATAGCCATACTGGCAGCTGGCCCCAGGGGCTCGCTGAGGTCCAACATAGAGATTGCCAGGGAGGACAGCATGAGTTCCTGACCTGCAAGGATAAGGCGCAAGCAAGGTAGTAAGCAGGCAAGTGCAATAGGGAAGGATAATTGACTGTGCCTAGCAAGGATGGGCCCTAGTGATGTGGGGCCACACGCACGCATGCCATGGGCGTCCTAGCTGATGTGTATGTGCAGGGCGGACAGGTATTGGGTGCTACAACCATCTGGAGCTGCAATCACCGTGTGTGCCCATACACTGATATACACACCTGGCTTCATGTCAATAACGGAAACCTTTGCAGCAGAAAATGCTTCTAGGCCCCGGCAAATAAGCAGGGTAAAGTTGGCTGATTGTGGAGCTGTGAAACAACCATTTGCATCCGTGCCACTGGGGCAAGGCCGCGCCACTCCTGTCCATTCTTTCAGATTGTTTGGCAAGCTTCTACCCCACCCTTGCAGGGTGACGTTTGGTACCGGCAGCTTTGAGGCCGTCGGGTATGCATCGTCCGGCATTGGTTGCAGGCTTAAGGTCCCCAGGGGAAGCAGGCCTGCGGTCGCCAGTAGGTCATTAACTGTCATTCCGCTCCCGGTATCAACCACAAGGTCAGCAGCTGGCGTAAGGACCGCTACTGCAAGCACCGCAAGGATTAGCGCAGCCTTGTGTTGACACCTGCAGACAACATTCCTGCATGTTGTCAGCTGAGGCCAAAGGGATGGTTGGAGGGAGGAGGCCGCTTGGCGGAGCATATGCCGATGTTTATGACAATGCACGACACAGCAGCGGGTTGTGCGCCAACCCTATATTGTGGGATTGGTGTTAAGAGGCCTTTGGCCGTAACTCACCCAAGTACACACCCAAGCCTGACAGCAATCCCCGAAAGAATCCATGGAAACCAGTGGACTGGGTTTGTCATATTCGCTACTTGATTTGCAAGCTTGGCGCACGGAGGCGTCAATAGAGCTCCCCTTATACGACCATTTTTTTACAGACGCAACAGACGCACGAGAAAGTTTGCCATGGTGGTGGAAATATTCTTTTTGTCCACGAGTTCTGGCGTTAGCAGGAGAACAGAACCGTGTATGCGCTGTGAAAGCGCTCACAGTATGTTGTGCGGATGAAATAAAAGGGCCACATACTAAGAGCACATAATAAGACTTTAATAGTAACTGGCATTTGAGGATGGACATCAAGGTGAAAAGGTCACGGCGCAGCTTCGGAGCTGAGCCGAATCACCCCAAGCCTCAACTGAGTATCGGGGCTATCGTCCTGTGGTTTCTGCATCGTCGGCCCCTGTGAATTATCCCTCATTACTAAATGCGATGAAGTTGCCGCTTATCCGGTGCAACAGATGCTCGCAATGCGGAAAGCATGATGCTGGGCGTAACTTCCTTTGAGAGCGGATGCCCATCACGTGGGTGACAATCTCTCCAGTGAAGCAGGTTGGGAGGAGGTCGGGCTGGGGAAGAGCTGGATCACTACGGTAGTGCGCCCTTCAGAAAGGGCCTGAACCCCATAAGCCGCTTCTGCTGTTTTATTGAGTGGGAGGGGCCCACTGCTCAGGTTATTTGTATCTTGCCGAAGGGGGATGCGCGTCGTCCAAGCACTTGCAAAGCTTGCGAACCGCTTGCCCCACACATAAGCGGTCGGCTGCTGAGGCCACGCACATGGATCGCTTTTATCTATAATCCCCCCCTCCTCACTGCATGAGTCGGGTTATGGGTCAGGGACTCTAGTTGTTTGCATTTATTATATTATTTTCCCCCCTCCTCCCCACAATACCACTCCCTCCTGCTTGATCTCCCACTTGTTCTGTTCCCTTCGATATCGCCAACCCTCCCTCCAGACATTAGGCAACCCTACCTTTCTTCCCGTGTCCCCCCGTTCCCAACCCTCAGTTGCTGGCTGAATTAGTTTTAAGCATGCTGCGCTGCCGTTGGCATGCCGTTCTACAAACTTTAACGTGGTCAGAAGCCGATAATCTGATAATTCACATATTACGCTTCTACCTGTTTCCTACTCTCCTAAAGTTGCAATTACTATCCCGCGACCGGCACATAAAGGTTTCAAAGCGGACTCCGTACGGGACTCCTCAGACATTTTATTAGGGTCCCTGGAGTCAACTCACAACTTCGCCGCACGACACAGCCACCAGCCAGGCAAACTACAGAACAATAGTTATTGATAATAACTTCCTAATAGGTGCCTTGTGAGCGCCGGAAGGTGCTTCCGCGGCCACCTACAACTAACCATCGCAACCAGTTACGACTGGCTCAGCAGTGACTTGCCAACATACTAAAGCAACAAATCTCATATGCCTAGCTCCTTATTCCACAACAGCTAGCGCGTAACAAAGGCACAGCGTTTAGGTTTGCTTGGGCACATTGTGCATGCGGTAAGTATGTCGACCACACCAATTTGAAGGCAGAGGACAATTGATACTATTATATAACGTTATAACATACTCCTCGGTGTATTTGCAATTGCGATAACTAGTCATTTTAGGAGGGTTGTCCGATGACTCCAGGGAGCCAGATAAAATGTCTGAGGACTCCAAACTGGCGTCCTTTCAAAGCCGTTCGTACCTGCTCTTAAGAAATGCTGCTCCGCATCGCAACAAGCTTTGATACAGCTTAGGTGATCATGTCTTTATCATTGTCGCATAACCTGAGACTCCGCGCCCGTGCGGTCAACCGATCCCAGTGTAGAGTATCAGCGTCACTGTCTCAGCACCGCAGCGCACGAGTGGTACTAGTTGCTAGTAAGAATCCTGTTAAGGTGAATGCTGTGCGCAGAGCCCTCCAAAGCTGTTTTCCCGCGTTAGAGATAGTCGTCATCGGGCGCGAGGCGTCTTCAGGTGTTCCAGAGCAGCCCTTTGGGGATGAGGAAACTCTTGCGGGGTACGTTTGAATTTTACTATGAGCAGAAGTGCCGCGATTGTTCGGGTCGGTTGCGTGAGCATCGGAACGGCTAGGGCTCACGTTGCTGGGACACATGTTAGTCGCTTGCTTGACTCCTAGTCCTGAGTTGTACCTGAGCTAAACAGCTGCATAGCGATGCAGTGGATGTGGGTCCTTGTTGAACTTTGCACGTCCGGAAGGTTTGGCGGGTCCTGCCTGGCGCTGCTAAACTCGAAGGGCGCGCTGCACGGCTCAGCCTATCTGCTGATATGGACAGGTCTCACTTCAATCACATCTTTACCGACTGACCTCTACCTCTCTTGCAAACTTGCAATGACAGTCTCACTATTATTGTTGCGTGATACTACTTCCATCCGTATTACCCAGGGCCAGGAACCGCGTCGCCTCCCTGCTACGCGATGGGCCCCGTTCCAGCCGCCTCCTCTCGAGCCACACAGCCCCCTCACACTCCACCACCTCCAACCCCCTGAGCCAACCCAAGGCCGCTCGCAGCAACAATGGGGCCAAAGAATTCAACGCAACTAGCCGCAGCGCCACCAATTTGGAAACCCACCAGCCATCAAGCAGCCCAGCTCCCAGCCCAGCTCCCAGTCCCGGATCTCCTGCACCATCAGCAAACGCTGCCGCTGCCGCCCCTGCAAGCGGTCCAGTGGTGGCGGCGAATTGCGACTTGCTGGTGGCGATAGAGGGCGGCGTGGGCCCCGCGGAGGCACCGGGGCAGGCGGGGCGGCTCGAGTGCTTCGCGTGGGTATGCGCCACGGACCCGCAGACGGGTGAGTGTGCTGGGTTGGGGGAAACCGAGTGGTTAGGTTAGGGCAGTGGCAGGAGCGCAGGACAGTTCGGTAGCGTAAGGTGTGGTTGATGAGGTTGACACCAGTGTGGACTGTCCAGGGGCCCCAGGTAAAGGTATGCCGGGAGTGCAGTTGAGGGGTAATGAGGGTGACATGCGTTGGGAATGTCGAAAGTAGGGGCTAAAAGGAGAAGACCCATGCTTAGGGGGTGAAAGGCATGCAGCGGTGGTGAAGGCTAGGAGGGAATGGAAGGCTGGCACGAAGGTATGGGTATTACCGCATCAGACCGTGTTCGTTAGTAGCATCATGAAAGCTAATCCACTACCTGAGCGAGTATGCGGTCGAAGCAACTGAATGAGAGATGGCAGGGATGGAACGCTAGCAGCCGTGGCGATGGAGTCGGGTTGTGGCCCCATGGAAGAGCGCTGCATCCGGCATTCGGCATTAAACTGCACTGCACCTGGCAAAAGGAAGGGGGGCCTTGAGAAGGCAAGGCCCAATGAGACGGCATGGGCAGACGGGAGTTGGGTCCCAAGGGGGGCTACAACACCCAATTCACGAGTCGTCCGTTTATATGTCAATCCCAACGACCCCCTTGCCGTGTTCCCTCCCGATGGCACGATGTGGTTTTAGGGCTCGTACTTTCATTTGTTGCCTACTTTCATTTGTTGTCGAGAGTCCCGCGCGGACCGGTGGGAGCATGGCAGCCCTCACCAGGCCGGTTGACGTGTTTTTTTACGTGTTGCACCCAAGTACTCCTGCCCTCACCCTCCGCCGCTTCCTTCGCTGCCGCCCCGTTCGCTCAGGTGCCGAGAGCACTACGCGCTCCGGCTCCTTCGCTCTGCCCCAGCCGTTGACTGATCTGGTGTTGGGGCGTGGCATAGAGCTGGGTAAAGCCGTCACCGCGGTTTTCAGCAGCAGCAAACTCGTCGGCAAGAAGGGCGTTGGCACCATTGGCATGCTGAGTAACGGCGTCCTGGACCGTACGGAGTACTATGTGCAGGCAACTGTTTGCGCGATGCTGCCGTACATGCAGCCAAAGCTGTACGGCAGCGAATACGAAAGATTCTTGGGATCGCAGCAATGCGGCGGGAGCAGGAGTGCTGGAAACGGCGCTCACGAAGGAGTCTCTGAGGGAGCGACGTTGTTGGGTAGCGTTCAATCGGTTGGAAACACGTTTGGAAATGGGAATGGTTGCGCGTGAGGTACGCATACAGACGTGTAAGGTTGTTAGCAGCATAGACTGGAGGGCGTTAATTATCCACTTATGTATTTCCATTCTCGCGATCGAGTTGCCGTTTTGAGTGTCGTAGAGGGGCAAGTTCTGTTGCCCATCCCAGCCAGGTTGTATACCGGTATCCGAGGAAGAGTGTTCCGGTTATTGTTCCGGTTAAAGTTACTGCCTAGCATTTCATTCGATTAAGCTCCTTGCATTGAAAATGAGTGATAGGTTGTAGGTAGACGGCCTCACTTTGCATGCTTAACTTCGACATCCAATCGAGGAAATTGTTGGTTGTACAAAGTTGAAACATTTGGTGATTTGGTGATTTTCATAGGTCTGGTGTTTATAACAATAGAAAGCCATGTCGCTTGAGAATATGTAGAGACACGGCCAGCCCTTGCCACTGAATTCGCAAGGCAGCAACAACATTCCAGACACATACATTCGTGTAAATTTATACGAAAACTTTCTTTCCTACTTGTGCATGGCCACAGCACATTGTACGACAATACAAAGAGGAGGGGACGTTGGACAAGCTAGCTATAACGTCCAATTCTGCATATGCAGAAACTGTTGTGCATCAGAAAATACTGACCTTGATTATTGCTTGTGGCTTGTAAGAGACCTTCCTATTACCGGTATCGGCTAACCGCGCCTTTTTGCTCGTGATTGACAGCATATCCTCTCGTCGTATTAGCTACGCTTATCGCGACTAAGCGTTATCACACAGCGCTCCTTCAGTGTTGGAGCATTTAGGCTCATACTTTTAACTACAAGTCTTCGAAGCCTGCGTCGCGAAACCCCAACTGGATTGAATGGGGGCTGGATGCTCTAGTGAACAGGCAGCAGCCACAGCACAGGTAAACATGTTCGTACTGGCAGCTCTCTGAGTTTCGTCATCATCGGCTGGCCCCCTTCAAACAGGCTCCTACCACTGAAACCGCGAAGGCCACCCCGGCCCTAAGCAAAGAGAAGGGGCCAGCCGCCTCGGCCAAGCCGGAGGAGACTGCTGCACCAGCGAAGGCTGCAGCACCGGAAGAAGCTACAGCAGCGAAGGGCTCTCTAGCAGAGGAGGCAAGCACGCAGGAGGAAGCCCAGGATGGCTCCGGCGAGGAAAAGAAGGACCAAGGGGCTCGCTATGACGCCCTGAAACGTTGTTTCGAGGCCCTGGATAAAGACAAGTCGGGGTAAGTGCCATGGGCCGAGGGGAGTCAGGAGGTGTCCCTAGCGGTCGGGCCGAGAGGAGCTTGCATGCATACACACATCACATCTATGGCTGGACCGGATCTGCCTGCCAGGGTGTTGTACGACTAAAAGCCCAACCAAGCCCATACACAGCCACGATACACCGTGTCTCCATGTCGGCCGCCTGTTGCCTCTGTCAGGACGATCGACGGCCGGGAGCTCAAGCAGTACCTGTTCAAGTCGGTAGGTCGGGTGGAGCGGCGGGTGGGGTCCAGGAACGAGGGGGGTGGGGGTTTCGGGTGTGCTAACGCTGCGGTACAGCAGCACGTTCAACCGGGAGGCTCCCACTCCCTGCGTGGGGTTGCTGGGGTAGCACCCCTATGTGGGGTTTCGCTGCCGTGCTGAGCTGTCGTACAAGTGCAGCATGCGCTGTTGTACGACGGGGCGCAGGACAGGCGCAGCAGCGGCAGCTGGCGTAGGAAGGGGTAACGGGACGCAGAGATCAGCGCACAGGAAGAGCCCTCCAGCGGTGTCCCCTGTTCCGTTCCAGGAATTGCAACTGAGAAATCAACGGCAATAGGCCTAACGCGAGAATCGCTGTTTAAGAAGGCGCCCCGCCCACCAGCTGTTACGCCCTCTCACCCCTCGAGCTGCCCCGCACTCTTCCTCCTCCCCTGCACCCAGTCCTTGCCAGGGACACCCTTCTCCCCTTGGTGTCCCAGGACGTCAACCCCTCTTAGCTGCGCGGCACATTTGCCTTTCCCCTTTCTTTCAGGGCGGCTTAGCTGCGATTAATAGCGGCGATACAGCTGCACTCCCCCGCCTCCAACCTCTGCCCTGTCCCCTACGATTGGGACTCGTTGTTTCACTTTTTTAATTTTGTCCCCTACGCCCCTCCTTACCTCCCTGCTGCCCCTCCTCTCTCCCCTCCTCCCCTGCCCCTCCTTCCCTCCCTTCCCCTCCCTCCTCCCCAGGGTGTCACCGCCGCCCAGCTGGGTGACCGCGCTGCCGACCTGATGGCCAAGATGGACCTCAACTGTGACAACCTGGTGTCGCTGGAGGAGTTCACGCAGATGGTGGGGCGGGGGGGCGCTTGGTGGGGGTGATCCGGAAAGAAACTGGCTGCGAGTTGGCACGTACTGTGTCCGTCTGTGTGGTCGGGGGGGGGGATTTCGTGTGGGGTGCATGGGGAGGAAGGTGGTACGGGGTCACGGGGAGGGCCAATGTGGTGGTCTTCACGCGGCCCCGCTGGAGGAGTCCATCCTGTTGGTGGTGGGGAATGGCAGGGAGTGGAGCGTGGTAGTAGAGTGGTAGGCTGGTAGCAGGAATGCATGGGAGCGACGACTCCCCTTCATCCCCAGTTGAAGACATGTGTGTGCTGCCAGCGACATGCCAGCCATGATGTGCCTAACCCCACCTGTCGCCTCCCTCCATCCCCCCCCCTGCCCCCAACCCGACCCCAGATGGAGGCGCTGCTGGCCGACAAGAGCGACGAGGACCTGGAGGTGTGGGTGGCGGAGGTGGCGTTCACGGCCACCAGCAGGGGCATCACGGGCTTCGGAAACAGCCTGGGGGAGCTGCTGGCGCAGCTGGCCTTCACCGACAAGCAGGTGGGGTGGGGTGGGGTGGGGATGGGATGGGACCAAACCATTTGGGAAGGCACAGCGTTATGAATTGTCAGGGTGGTTAGGAAACCATATAGGGTAGGCGTTTGGGCGAACGGAGCCTTGGTAAATACCTGCCGTGACAGTAGCATGGGGTGGGGTAACGTGTATTAGGGTTGATTGTAACCGACTGGTGGGAGTAGAAGAATGAAGGGCTGGCGAATGAGTAACAGTCCGGGAGACGCGCTGGCATGGCTAATGTGTTCAGCAAGAGGCTTTAGTAAGCGGCAGGTGGGGGCTATGAGGTGGGGTGTAGGGAAGAGGAGGCACACTGGAGCGCTGGTGACGGGAGGAAGATGGTTGCGGGAGAGCTGGAGAGGCGAAATGGCTGGCCGAGAAGAATGGGGGAGCCGTGCTGACGGAGTAGGGCTGGGAGGGCACCTCCCTGATCCGTCCAACCTGCAATCAGGGTGCACGTATGACCCTTGGGTCGGCATGCTCCTGTGCCTCCATGTATGCTGGCTGCGGTGGTCCGTGGGTGCGGGGCGAACCGCGGTGCCGCCTACCCCGCCACTGCTCCCCGCACGGCGCGAAGGACACGAGCCCGCAAACCACCCGACTGCCCCTCTACACAGCTGTGCTAAGGGGGTGTGGCAGCGCCTCCTGACAGCCGGCGTGGATATCCCAGTGTGCTGAGCTGCCAAACCACCCACCACCTAAACTACCGTACCGTGACATGCATGCCCCGGCACTCATCATGGCCCCCCGGCTCACGCTCCCCAACACCCGCAGGTCGCGAAGCTCAAGCAGGTCTTCACAACTGCGGATCGGGACAGCTCCGGGTGAGCGGTGCGGCCCTGCCGGCGGACCCCGTACGTGTACGGGTGCCGTACCTTCATCGGGTGCCGTACAATGGACCATCAACACCTCCTTTCTAAACCTTTCCTCCTTTGTCCAGGCATGTGCAAGTGCTGTCTGATAGCAACCTCCAGGAAATGCAGACTAAACCTCCTCTCGCTATCCTTTCAACTTCGCTCCGACATCTTGTCGCTCTCAGCTTACCCGCTCTCTCCTTCCCTCCCCACACGCCCTCCTTCAACCGTTTGTTGCCGCCATCCAATCCTGCAACCAACTGCTACCCTGCGCCCTGTTTGCATTTATTATTTATTTTCTCCCTCCCTCCATGGACCTCAGTTTCGTGGAGCTTCCGGAGCTCAAGCTGATGCTGGGGAAGTCGGTAAGCAGGGACGGACGTACGGAGTACGGAGCTGCAAAGTGATGACTGCTTTACTGCGGAATGCCTGAGCTCTGACTAATTGAGTTGCTATCCATGGCGCATGACGCAACAAAAAAGTCATCGTGGCCTTGTTCTCAGACTTTGCTGCTGTTGTTGCTGCACACCGTGCAGGGACTGGACTTGGCCAACACGTCAGAGGAGGTTATCACCCTCATGTCCAAGCTCGACAAGGTAAGGAAACAGTTGGAACCAGGTTGTGCTGGCAATGAGGGACTGCCACCGTCGTACATACCGAATGGAATCATGTGCAGCCGCACAATCCTCATGGGCAGGCAAAACCCGATGGACAGTTGACCGTTGCCGTGCACTGTCGTACAAGTAGCTAATTGTAGATCACAAAGAACTGTAGCGGGTTGAGTATTGGGGAACAAAGCGCGTTTACAGGAAACAACTTATCTTGTTCATACTGCCTGCACCATTGGAAAGGACCATTCGTCTGCAAGTCTGATGCGTGCAGTAACATTTCCACATCCCAAAGTGTTTTATCATCGTACCGCTCACATTCTGTCCGTATTTGAGTCCTCCGTGACTCCGTGGCCACTTCGCGACGGTTCCCAGCACCAACACACACCTTGCTAACCCCTTCACCAACCTTGCCCTGCCGTTTCGGCCCCTGCTACCGCAGAACGGCGACCAAAAAATCTCCGAACAGGAATTCCTCGTCACCCTATCGGCCGTGCGCAAATCCCTCAAGTCCGATACCCGATTCATGGAGCTCTTAGACAATTTGCTGGACGTTGCCAAGGACCCAGGACACGCGACCCAGAAGCCTTATTTTGCCGAAGTGCTCCTCGCTGAGGATTTCGATCATTGACGGGCATGGCCACCTTGCTACCCCTGGAAGCGCCTGCATTAGGCGCCGCCTCAACCGCACTGTCATTGACTGCCTAAGCGTTGTTGCTTTACTGGTTGATCACCACTTTCGTGATGACGTTTGTCGCCTGCGTAGCGTTTATTAATAAGCATTTAACGAAGAGCGTAGGGAAGGTTGCGTACAATATCATCAAGGACTGCACTTACGTCTTGATACCGGTCCATACACCGGTTAAGGCACTTTTGGTCACTGCTGCTTAGCGAGCTTCCCGGGTTGCTAAGGCACGCCTTGAAGCACTTGTCGCGCACGGTCTGCGGAATGCAGGTTGCACAAGGAGCTCATCGTCTATTAGCTCGCTGTATTCCTTCCCTAAGTTTAACATACCTGGTAGAACTCCTGGACCATTTGCATTTGCAACTGCGCCTTCACCTGCACAGGCCCACGGGGCGCGTTACAGCACCGTCCATAAGCGCGACAGCAATGAGCCTGCTGTCCTAACCTGTTCCATAACAGAATGGTCATCCATCTTGCCGCCTGGGGCACCCATGCCTGCTCCGCCGAAGTTCATTTCGATAGATTTGCGAGGAAAAAGTTACGGTAAGTGGTGTTTAAGTATGCTTCTAGCTAATGGTGTTCTTGTTAGCGTTAATTCGTTAAAACGTTTACACCTTTGCTGCAGTATGGCTTTCATATCGGCTCCGTTTGGTCTCATCGTACACTTGCGGTCTCTGTCGTCAGCTCGTCACAGACGCCTGGTCAGCATCCTTCGCTTCGCAGTATTGTAGTAACGATGGGCTAAACGATGGAAATTGCTGCGGGCTATCTACGGCTCGACCAGGTCTTCCCGCTTCCGTGCAACCATGGGAGTCCTGACCCGGTTAGTGCAACCAACATTCTCGAGAGCCTTCAGGCGCTCAATGCGGCGCTGCGCAAAACCACTGCTCCGCGCAACGCTTGGCCAAGTGCCGCCCAAGCGGTTCGCACCGGCACGGCTGTCGCCCCAGGCGATTTGCGCAACCAACTACAAGCACTGCTCCAAACGGCGCTTCGGCAGCTAGCTGCTAGTGGTGGCAAGGACTGGCCGCAGCAGGTGCGTCATATGCAGGTTGGGAATGCAGGGAAAGACCCATATCCAAAGCTCCATAATAGGTGTCAGGTACACGTCGCCCTTTCACTCCAAACCCTTTGCCCCAAAGCGCCCCCAAGCTGCATGACCTGCATCCTAGCTCCATGCAAATGCCTTCGGCTACAAGAATGAGGCTCTTCCGGGCTTCAGTGTCAGCATGAATTCTTTCCTTACACGGAAGAGCTGGGTGCGTGAATGACTGACACGCACCCTGCCTGCGCTCAGTCCCGCTGGATGCCTGAACTACCGGTAATCCCCTTTCTTACCCGATCCTTGTCACATTGCTTCCCAGCCCTTTTCAGTTTCCATTCCTGCTGTTCCCTTCCATCCCTCCTCTCACTCGTACGGCAGACGTCGAGGACTTCGTCCGTGTCGTACATTGTCGCATCGGAGAGCACCCAAGCGGGTACCAGTGGCGCCTATGAGCCGCTGCCCCATGTGGCCATAAGGCCCCCGGGGCTGTTGCTGAGACCGGGTACGGCAGCGGACGAGCTGGCGGAGGTCGTACAGCAGCAGGTGAGGAGGGGCGGCCCTGGCTGGCTAGGTCGGGTGTTGTTTGCGGTTATGTCAAATGGCTCTCAACTTACATAACTGAGTTCACCTCAAAAACGCGACCCGCGGGTCGGGGATTTTTGCGTGAATGCAAAACAGGGCACCGCGATGGCGGTTCTGCCATGGCGCGACGAAGGGGCGGTTCGAACTTACCTGCTGCGACCCATGGGTCGGAGGCAGTTGCTGAAGGAGCTGGGAGGCACGTTGTGTAGCGGTCAAGGTAAGGAGCAAGTACGACGCTGTACGTGCACCTGGACGTCCCCACTGCTCCGCAGCTTGGAACACCGTAAACGCAAAGGAACCGACGTCCGAGTACAATTTGTTACGAGTCTACCTGAAGTAGCCCAGCACGGAACTGTGACGCGCGAATGTATGTATATTAATAGCATGATTGCAATGCATCCGCGCATCATGTTGTACCGGTACGACGTGTGCCGGTACAACATGATGCGCGGATGCATTGCAATCATCCCTGCCTCGAGCTCTGCATTCCAACCTTCCAAGGTTCCTTATCCTGCATGCGCACCCCCTCGCACGCAACACCACTAACACGCTGAACATCCCCATGTCATGTGCCCCTTGCAGCGCTGCGGGATGTACGGCACGAGCTTCGGGACCGTACGTTTGTCGTACTGCACTATCACTGGGACGGCGAACGGCTCTGGCCCTGTCATACCACCGAGTCAGACACGCTCGGCGCGCTGCAGCATCCGCACCCCCAGCAACCCCAGCAGCGGCAGCAGCTGCTGCAACCAGAAGGGCACGGGGAACGACAGCGCCAGCAGCCCTCTCCCCCGACCACAGCGGAGGCGGCCACCGACACAGCGCTGCAACCGCCTGGCAACCCGCTCGCGCCTGCTGCTGATGCTGATGCTGCTGCTTCTCCTCCCTCGTCCGCTGCTCGGGTGGAGGCCGCCGCAGTAGAGGCGGCGGTAGCGGGGCAAGGTGCGGCCGGTGCGGTCGTCACGCAACTCCCACCCGGCCCCACGCAAACCCCACCCCCCCGGCGCTACTCGCTGGAGGATAGCAACGTTCAGGTGGGTGGTGGGTAATTGGGTGGGTGCGGGTTGAAGGTGGGCTTGGGGGAATCTAGTGGATTGGTATCGGGTAAGTGGGGATGGGTGAGATGGACGTAGGGTGGACCGCGCCAGGTTGGATGTTAGTGCATACATACATGGCTACGTCTGCAGTGGTGGCTTGCCGTCAGGTGCCAGTCGCCAAAACAGCAAAGCCCTGAGACGTGACGTGGACATGTGGGGAACATGTCTGGCTAGCCTGCATTCCCGTATCCGTCGGGCGTGATGCATGTTTCCCATGCCTTATTGCGTGTCTGGGTTTCCCCGCACCCATTCACCCCAACGCGTTACCATCCAGGGTGCCCGTCCTCCAATTTCCTGTCGCCTAATACTTCAACCTCCACGACCCATGGGTCATCCGTGTCCCCTGATGCCGCAGGTGGGGCTGCTGGTCCGCAAGGGCGTGGGCGGCACCTACCCCTATCAGGCCGCAAGCAAGGCCCTCCACGCTAGCGGCCTGCTGCCACTCCCCATGCGCCCCCCGGCCGCCGCCAGCGGAGGCCCGCCCCTCCGCCCCCCTCCTGCCACCCCGCACCCCCTCCTGCTCCACCTGCTCCGACCCACCGGCACGACCCCGAGCGCGCAGCCGCCCGCAGCAGCGGCAGCGCCAACCCACACCGCTACTGCCGAACCGGTCGCCACCAGCACTGCAGCAGCAGCAGCTACCGGCTCTGGGACCTCCATGCACTGCAACCCAGCCGCCGCAGCTGCGGCCGCCCCGGCCATGACGGCTCCGGCAGCCCCCACACCGGCGGTACCCTGGGCAGCTGCGGCAGCCGGCGCGCACCCCACCTCTGCGTCTGCCGTGGCGACAGATGCAGCAGCGGCAGCAGCAGCCGCAGCAGCAGCAACGAATGCCGCCACAGCTCCTACAGCTCAGCACCTGCAGCCAGCTGCTTCCCGCACCCATGCATGCGCTCTCGGTGACAGTGGTGCTGGCGGTGGTGCTGGTGCTGGTGGTGGGGACGGTGCGGGTGGGGCTGGCGGGTGCGCAGCGGACCTAGCGGAGGGGGAAGGGGCGCTTGCGGCTGAAGGGGAGGAGGAGGAGGAGAAGGAGGGAGAAGCGGGGAACGCCGCCGCAACGGCTCCAGGGCTGCTGACGAAGGAGGCGTTCCGGAGTACCACATGGGCCACATCACCCCCCACTGTGACGCAGATGGAGGGGGTTGCGCAGGAGGGAGGAGCCACCGCGTCTACTGCAGCTGCGGCTGCTGCCCCGCCTGCTGCTACAGCATCCTCGGACCCCGCCGCACTGTCTTCAGCTCCTCTCCAGCAGCAGCACCAGCAGCGGCCCGCCACCACCGCCGCCTGCTCCACCACCCCTGCCAGCAGCCCCCAAGGCTCCGGCGCAGGCATCGCCGCTGCAGTGACCGCCAACGCAACGACACCAGCAGGACCAGCAGGACCGCTGCCACCGTTACCGCTACACCCGCCGCCGCCTGCACCTCTGCAACCACCACCACCACCGCCGCCACGCCCACCCAGCTACTGCTGCCCCCTGGTGCCCGCGTCCTTCCCCGACCGTCCCTCCATACCTCGGGCTGCCGTACATGCCAGCATGCAGAGCTGGCGCAACTCCATGTGCGCATACGTGGCGGGCGTGGCGGCGGCGGCAGCAGCGGCGGCTGCGGCTGTGGGGACAGAGGTGACAGAGGAGGCGGCGATACCGGCGGTGGCGAAGACAGTATTGCACGCGTCGGATACGGTATCGGCAGGCACAGCGTCAGTGGCCGCTTCTGGTGCTGACTCTTCGACTGATGCAGCTAAGGCAACACTGCCAGCAGCGGCGGCGGCGCAGGCTGCCACTGAATGCGCCGCCCACCAGGCTGCTTGCACCTTCGGCGTGTCTGCCGCTGTTGGCGGTGACAGTACGGGTGCTGACGTCACGTCCCGGCGCACCCAGGTGGTGGCGGTGGTGGTGGGTGCGTGTGATGAGGTGCAGGGCGGCGTCATGGGGGGGCACGGCTTGGCAGTGGGGGCGGCGACACGGCAGTTGGAGGCAGCTGGAGAGGATGGTGTGTGTGGTGGCGTTCAGGCAGACGACGCGGTGCTGATGGCGCTGGGGGAGGGGGAAGAGCTGGCTGGGGAGGAACCAGAAGAGCATGTGGAGGGGGCGGACGGCTTGGTTGCTGCGGCCGCAGTTGCAGCTCCTGCATACGCAACTGAGGCCTTAGATGCGGGAGATGCGGCGATGGAGGACGCTGGCGTAACTGCAGCGGAGGCAGCCGCGGCGGCGGCAGAAGTAGAGATGCAGGCGGAGGGAGGAGGTATGGCCGGGATGGATGTTGCAGACGGGGAGGAGAAGGCTGTAGCAGCGGAGCCGGCTGCGGCTACCGAGGAGGAAGAGGAGGGGGCCTCAGATGACGAGCACGTTCCCAGCGAAGCAGCGGAGGCAGAGGCGGAGGCGGAGGGGGCAGCCGCGGGCGGTGGCTTACAACCGACGGAGATGGAGGCAGTCGCTGTGGAGGAGACAGTGGCGGAGGAGGCGGAGGCAGTGGCGGAGGCGGTGCAGCTGTCGGGAACTGGCGTGTGTGAGGTGGGTAGGGACGCGGTTGGCGGCGTGGAGGCAGCTGGCGGGGGCTCTGCTGCTGGGCCGCTGTCGGAGCTGGGATGCCTAGCCGCCGGGGGGACTGCAGCTGCAGCTGCTGTGGCTGCTGCTGCTGCTGTGGCTGCCGGGCCATCCGCGGCTGCTTCTGAGGCACCAGCCTCAGCCGCACGCGGTGCAGCTGCCGCTGCTGCGATTGCGCAGCCACGTCAGCCCACCGCTGCTGGCCCGCCTGGTGCTGGCAGCCGCGCTGGCAGCCGTAGCAGCAGCAGCAGTCATAAGCCCCTCAAGCTGTACAGCTACTGCTGCCGGCTTGAACTCTACGTGGACGAGCAGCTGTGGCGCCGTACCGCCAAACCGAAACGAGACCTGCTGTTTTCTGCCGTACAAGAGGTGGAGAGGCGCCTGCACGACAGCTTCAACGAGTGGAACCACGAGGGCCTTGTGCGGCATTGTACGTCACTCCTGGCGGCTCTGCGCGCGTCGCCGTCCTCCGAATGCCTACCTTCTCCTTCTTCTCCATCACATGTTCCTCCTCCTCTTCCTTCTCCTCCTGCTATATCTCACCCAGCCCCTTTTCCAGTCGCAAGCAAAACAACAACCGCAGCAGAAGCAGCACGCAGCACCCCAGCGGTACCCGCTGCAGGTGCTGCAGCAGCAGCAGCAGTACCCGCAGCAGCGGCACAGCTCTCGACAACAGGCGCAGAAGCAGCGGCAACAACAGCGGCGGCTGCAAGCACGGGAGCTACCGGTGAAGGAGCAGCGGCAGGTGCGACGACGACAGCAGCAGCGGGGACCTTGAAGGCAGCAGCAGCGGCTGCTGCAGCTGCTGTGGCGGCTCCAATAGGAACGCCACCAGCAATGGCTCCTGCGGCGGTTACCCAGCAGCAGCAGCAGCAACAAGCGCTGTACCGACAGCTGTTTCTCCAGCTGCTGCACACCGCTCAATCCCAGACCACCGCTCAACCCCAGCTGCCGCCTCTTGCGCCCTCCCGGTCGGCAGCGACGGACGCAACAACACGTGCAGCAAATGCCGCCGCCTGGGCTCTTGCTGCATGTGCAGCAGCAGGCGCAGCAGGGGAGCAGCCGGGACGAGCAGCAGCAGCCGCAGGCGCAACCTCAGCAGCAGCAGCAGCACCAGTAACAAGGGAATCGACAGCGGCATCAGCTGTAGGAGCCCCTAACGCTGCGTCGGTACGTGACGTCAGCACCCCCGCAAGCATGTCGTACACTCCTTCGCTCACAGCGCCCTTACCAGCATCGTCGCCCCATCCTGCAACTCAGCCTTCAGCATCTACACCTACACAGCCCTACCCACCTGCACCCAGACCCCTTCTTTCTCCCCCGCCGCCACTGCCACTGCCGTGCTCCCCTACGGCAGCGACGGCTAGCTTGCATCTTACCCAGTCCACAGCTTCCCTCGCAACCCCTGCGTCTTGTACGGCAACGTCTCGTACATCGACCCCTGCCTGCACTTCAACAGCCCCTTCAACGCCGTGTGCGTCTTCCTCCTCCTTCTTTCCGCCCCTCTACCCCGCTGCACCCTCAGCTCCCCCAGCTCCCTCCCTAGAGGCAACAACAGCGCCCTTGTCGTCACCAGCGTGCTGTGTGCCGTGCACCTCGTCTTCACCTGCCGTACCGGCTGCTGACACTGTGTTCTCCGTTACGACAAGCACTAACACGACAAGTGCGACATGTGGAGCGGATGGGGCGGCGGAGGCGGCAGCAGCAGCAGCAACAGCAATGGCGGCGGCGGCGGCGGGCGGGAATGCGGATGATGCGATGATGGTGTGTGAGGAGGAGCTGGCGGCGGCGGAGGCGGCAGCGTGTGCGAACGCGGCAGCGGCAGCGGCGGCGGGGGGTCCGGCAGTGGTAGGGGTTACGGGTGAGGCTCGGCGGGCAGAAGGGGTGGAGGTGGGGGCGGCAGGGCAGGCGGGCCGAGACATGGCTTTGTCGTCAGCGATGCGGGTAGAGGCCGGGCCTCGGGATGCGATTGTGGAGGCGGTGGAGCTGGCGGGGGGGCCGACTGGCGCGCCGGTGCCGCCGACTGACCCAGCAGCTCCGACCGCGTCAGGAGGAGGGGCGGATGAGGTGATGGAGGAGGAGGAGGAGGAGGAGGAGGAGGAGGGCAGGCTGGCGGACCAGGTTGGGGCGCCACGACAGCCTGCTACACCCGCACGCCGAGCAGCTGCTTCCCACGTCACCACCCACCACCCGCAAGCCCCCCAGCAGCCCCCGGGACCAGACAAGGCAGCAGTACGGGTGATGACTCCGCCAGCAACCCCGCCGCCCCCAGCCCCGGGGTCCTGCGATCCGCCGCCGCCCCCGCCGCCGCTGTCATCTTCCCCGCCACCGCTCGCCACTCTACCGCCAACACCGCAGCAGCAGCAGCAGTTGCTGCAGCGCTGGGCGCTAGCGGTACTGACGGCGGCGGCGGCGGCGGGGAAGCTGCCGCAGCGTCCGGCTGCCCCTGCAGCTCCGGCCGCCATGCGGGCGCCACACTCGCTATTCCCATCCGGTAGCATTATGAGCAACGGTGTCGCTGTTCCCGCACCAACGACAACAGCAGCGGGTGCAGTACCGTCGTACATTCCCGGCGGCGTGCCGGCGCTGCTTGTGACAGCAGCGGCGATCTCAGCATGCGCAGCGGAGCGGGGCCTGCTGACACACCCCGGCCCGGGTGCTGCGGGGGGAAAGGGCGCCGCTGCAACGGCTGCTGACGGGGGGGCAGGAGCGACTTTGTCGTACGGTTGTAGCGGAGCCAGCGGCGGCGGCAGTACTGCCTACAGTAGCAGCAGCGGCAGCGGCGGCTTCCCCTGGCCGCTGTACCTTATTGGCACACGTGACAGCTTCACGTACCACCTGGTGCCTCGTACGGCTGTCGTACAGGGGCCCGATGGCCGTACGTTCATTCGTACGGAGTACTTTTTCCGCGAGGACGAGTTGCCGCCTGACTACTGGGCTTTTGCAGGTGAGAAGAGGGAGAGTTCTGGTCAATACTTCATTGATGAAAGCCGGTGAAGGCAACCAGTCAAACACCACAGGTTCTAATTACCCGGTGGTCGATGAGCCTTCCAGTAATAAAAAGAGAGGGTGAACTACATTGGAAGCAATTGATTGGATTGGCACTATCACAAACGGCGCCTCATAAGCGCATGTCAAGTAAAACCATTCGATAACCACATTCGACATCCTCACATGATGCGCCCCCCTCACCTCTCTCCCCCCCCATCTCCTGCCGCACTCTCCGACTCAGGCAAACCCACAACCGAGGTGTTTGCAGAAGCGCCACCCGAACCCGCTGCTACCGGCGCTGCTGCTGCCGGCAGTGGTGCTCAGCCTGCTGCTGCTGACAACACATACGGCACTGCCGCCGCCGCCGCCAGTAAGCCCGGCAGCAGCGGCAGTGCGGGTGGTGCTGCCGCCGTTTCCGTCGCTGCTGTCGCTGGGTTGCCGCCGCCTGACAGCGGTTGTGCCGTCGCAAAAGCAGCTCACCCGGATACGCCGCCTTGCGCGGGTCTAGCTCCCGGCGCCTCTGCCGGTGCGGCTTCCCACCCGGCTGGTACGGCTGCGGTGACGACTGCACTGACTGCAGGTGTTACAGCAGCAGGCAGCGGCACCGCGGTGGGCAGTAGCAGCGGCGGCGGCGGTGCTGCCCTTGGCGGCGGTCAGATGGACAGCGGCGGTGGTGAGAAGGACAACTGCGGAGCCGGCTTTGCTGACGGTGGTGACGGTGGTGACGCCGACGGGGAGCTGTGTTCGCTGGCTGCTGTGGCGGAGGTGCTGGGCAGCCTGGTGGCGGGACTGGAGGGGGGTGGCGGTGGAGGTGGAGAAGGTAGCGGGTTGCTCAGCGGCGGTCAGAATGCCAGCGGCAGCGGCAGCAGCAGCAGTATGATGATGACGGCTGCGGACTGCTTCACTGGGAACCCTGCAGCAGCCGCGGTAGCAGCAGCGGGTGGGGAGCGCGGGAAGCACGATGGGCACGATGGAGGTACCCATGCCCGCTGCACGGCTGCTGGCACCCATCCCGCTCCTCCGGCAGCACTGGTGCTAGCAGCAGCAGCAGCAGCACCGGCACCACGAATTGCGCCTCCCCTAGGTACGGCTCCCGAGGTACCTGCAGCAGCAGCGGCAGCTGCCCCCTCCCCCCTGCAGCCGCCACCTCCCCAACCACCCGCCCCCGCCCCCGCCCCCGCCTCTTCCTCCCTCCTGCTGCTGCTGCCCCCTCCGCCGCCCCCTCCGCCGGGTCTGCTGCCCGTGGGCGTGGTGTCGTACACCGCGCTGTTCGGCCCGGGGGAGCTGCGGCGGGTGGAGGCGGCGGCGGAGGCGACTGACGTGGCGGCGCGGCGGGGGCTGCTGCCGCCGGAGTGCCACCACAGCTCGGTGGGGGGCGGGGGCGGGGGAGGCGAGGGGGCGGCGCTGAAGAGGACCAAGATGTTTTTCGGAGCGCGGTGAGTTGGGGGGTGCGGGGGTGAGACGGGAAACACACGGGGGTTGCGGGTCGTCGAGGTGCCTGGCCGCTGTTAAGCAGCCCGCGCTCTGTACTGTTGCACCGCTTGGGTACCTAGCCCACAAGGGCGAGTGCGCGGTGTACGCTGCTGGTTCGGGCGAGAACGTCCACCGTCTTCCCCCGCCCCCTTGCTCCAAGCTGCCCTTGAACTTCTCCCCCACCTTTCCCTTCTTCTTACCCCTCCCGCCCTCCTCCGCTCCTCCCCCCCCCTTCTCCCCCCCCCGGCCAGCTACCTGTGGACCCGCGAGCAGCTGTCGCAGCCGCTGTCCCGGGTGGCTGGCGGGGTGCGACTGGATGTGCCGCCGCCGCTGCCCTGGATGAGGCAATTGGTGAGGGGAGGAAGGGGTGGGGTGAGGGTGGGGGAAACTGCAGTAGGAGTGGGAGGAATTGCGGATGGGCAGGGGTAGGGCCTTGGTTGCCTGGGCCAGTTGTGTGCACCCCGGCGTCGTATATGTGTGTGTATGTATTTGCTCATGCTTCTCCTCCCCCCTCCCCGCCCCCCCCAGGTGGAGGCCCCCCTGGTGTCCTGCGGGGTGGTCCCCCGGGGCTTCGTGGACAGTGTGGCGCTCAACCTGTACCACGATGGGAGCGAGGGAATACAGGTGGGGGCGGGGGGGTGTCCAAGGAAGCCCAAACCATAGGAACCATAGGTGCTGATGAGGGCTGGTCGACTCGCCGCACAGCTCCTCTTGCTTCTTCCGAAACTCCCGCTTGAACCGCCCTTCAATACCCCCCTCTCCTACTTCGATACCTGGGACGCGGCATCATCCTCCGGTACACTACGGTCAGGGTCAGTGCGTGGTTCCGCGGCTCAGTCTATCTAACCCCTACTAAACCACCCGCCTTACCCCCCTCCCCCCGTTTCAGTCCCACTACGACGACGGCGCTCGCTTCCGCCGCCCCATCTACTCGCTGCGCCTCTTCTCCGACAGTCGCCTGTCGTTCGGGGGGGCGCTGTACGGCAACACGAACAACGCCTTCTTCGTACCCATGCCACGAGGGTGAGAGCGAGGGGGGGGAGGGGGGGGGAGGGAGTAGGGGGCAAGGGGGGTGGGGGGCACGAGCACGTGGGTTTGGGAGGGCACTGTACGGCAACGCGCGTGCATTGCGTCTTTAGGGTCCATGCGGTAAGGGTGGGGGGGGGGGTGGCGAAGAAGAACGGCACTTGGGGGAATGCACGGATGTGGGTAGGGAGTCGGGAGCTGGGTGGCGTCGTACATGCAGCTGAGCTGCCCGGGGGTCGCCCACCGCTCGAGCGTCCCGACACCCTGCAGCAATCATCCCAACGATATACCCCCACGGGATATCGAGGGAGGGATCCCCCGCTCCTATGTTGATCCTCCTACGGCCTACTGTTCGTATACTTCTTTTCCCTTTTACCTCCCTTACCCCTGTCAGCTGCCTCGTCAGTTTCCTCTTTCCCCCTGTTGCGGAACCTGTATCCCTCCCCCCCCTCCCCTCCCCCCCCGCCTGCCTCAGCTGCATCACGGTGCTGTCCGACGCTTCCTACGCGGCCAACGGCATCAAGCACTGCGTGCGGCCCGCAGACATGGCGGGGCGCAGCGCGGCGCTCATACTGCGGGGGATACACCCGGGCGCGTGGAGGAAGGCGCAGGTGTGCGGGGGGGAGAGGGGAAAGAAGGATACCCAATGTGTTGTTTGACAGTGGTAAACTCTCCCTCGCCCCTCCTGCCCGCAGGAGTTGCTGCTGGAGGAGACCTGCGGCCGCTTCACCCGGGCCCTGCGCCTAGACAGCGGCACACAGGGGCCTGCCAGCGGGCAGCCGCAGCCCGCGACTGGCGAGCGACCCGCGGGTCACCTTGGTCAGACCGGCGGCGACGGCGGCAGCAGTGCTGCTGCGAGGAAAACTTTCCAACAGCAGCAGCAGCAGCAGCAAACCCCGCGAGGTGGTCCCAGTGATGCTACAATCAGTCGGATTGTACGACACGTCGTCGAGCGGTTGGTGGATCGCGTGGAACGGCAAGTGCGGCGGCAGGCGGCGGTTGAGGCAGCGGTTGCGGATGTCGTACGACGCATGGTGTGGGTCGTCTCGCGCTCTGTGGCACGAGAAGAGGAGGCGGAGGAGCAGAAACGGAAGAGGGCTCTGCTCGCGCGGCGGCGACGGAAGCGGCAGCAGGTGGAGCAGGGGGAGCAGGGGGGTGGGCTGGCGTTACCCAGTACGGCACCTCCGCCCCACACCCTCAGCGATACAGCGCTAGAAGGGGTGGAAAGCAGCGCGGTGTACGACAGGAGCAAGTACGGCAGTAGCAGCGCGGCGGGTGGCACGGCAGCGGACACGGGAGCTCTGCCGTACACTTTCGGTCGTACCGGCGGAGCTAGCAGGCGGGGGCGGGGCAGGGGCCGTGGAGGACTGCCGTACGGGGGTTTTGCATCCCCCGGCCCCTCCCCGGGGGAGGCGGCCTCTGAAGCCCAGCTGCGGAGCCCCGAGGACCGGCAGGTGGGTGCAGGGTGGGGGACTGGATGGGGTGGGATGGGGGGATTTGGGGCCGGGTGCATTGGAGGGGGAGAGCACCCTGTGCGCGGCAGGTGAGAGAGGTGACCCTGCGGAGCCCGGCTGCAGGGCTGCAGGTCGGCTGCGTGCGGTGTCATGCAGGCGCACGGAGTGGAAGGGGCGGGCCACCAGCTAATAATGCAATCACACAATATAATGAATTATTGATATGTGATAGTGCACTCCCCCTGGATCGAATACGTTGAGCGCCGGTGTCCCTTTTTGATCCACACCCGCACCAAACCCACCATCGCCGCTGTGTCTGAAATGCTGATAGCACAGGAGGTATGGTCAACAGCTAAGTCTCTTCGTTTTCTCATACCTTTCTCGGCCTTTTGGCTCAGATCATGTGTAGTATCTGTTCTTGTAAGTCTAATCGCTTACATGGTCCTCATTGAGGACCTGCGATTAACTTCAATATTTTGAGGGGGTGCGGTCAATGGGTGTGCTTGCGCATCCGACCCACCAGCATGGTTGCGGCCTTACACTACCGCCGTAGCCGTGCACCCTACCCAGCGAATACATATGCGTAAACAACATGGACTTCCGTTTAACCCAACACAAAATGCAAAGAATCAACAACAGCTGCTCCCTCCGACGTACGAGGCCAACCGAACAACTGCCAGCAAGGTCAACACAGCACCGCCTGGCTAGATACATGGTGCTTTAGACCCCTACAACTGCTCCATCTCTACCCCTGACTATTTAACTTACCAATGAACCCACTTTGACTCGATATGTTTTAGCCAGGCGGTGGTGTGTTGACCCATGGGTCCGTGTGGTGGTAGTGGAACATTCATTTTGCGAACCATGACGCTTGCCAGCCCAAGCGCGCTCAAGCTGTCAATGGTCCTGTGGATCTGTTGGGGTTCCGGACCACCAGCCCCCGACCACGGCCTCAACTGCAACTGAGGTATAAGCATACATGCGGTCGCATGTGTTCCCATCGCCCCTTCACCTCTCCTCCGCTCCCTCCCACACACGCGCACGTAGATTCGCCGGCTACTCAACCGCATGATTCGCGGGGTGGAGGCGGCAGCGGAGGCGGGCAGCGGCACCACCTGCTGTACGGCAGCCGGCACCTCCTCCTCCTCCCGCCGTACAGCTGCCGTACATCACTACAGCATGATGCGGGGGCAAAGCCACGAATCAGGGGAAGGAGGAGCAGGGGGTGGCGGCGGCGGCGTCAAGCGCACATACGACAAGGGCGGTGCCGCAGCGGCAGGTACGGCGGCTGACGTGGACAGCGGCAGTGGCGCTGTTGGCAGCAGCGGCGGGAAGGCAGCCCTGGAGGCCGCTCCTCCGCCTCCTCCTCCTCGCCGCCTCCGGACTGCAGGGCCCGTGTTTACATGTTCGCTGGACAGTACAGCGGGGGTGCGGCACTCGGGCGGTGGCGGGCCCGCTGTTGCCAAGCGCCGGAGGCTCGGATGCAGCGGGGAGGAGCAAGCCGCCGCTACTGCTGCTACTGCTGCTGCCGGCCCCTTCTGTTCGGGATTAATACGTTCGCCCCCAATCCCTGCTGCTGCTGCTGCTGCCGCTGCTAGCTACCCGCACGTGGACCCTCGTCTGCTGGAGGACGAGAGGGACTGTGAGGCGGCTGGTGGTGACGCTGACGGTGGTGGTGGTGGTGGTTGGGTCGGCAGCGGCAGCACCATGAAGGTACTGGCGCCGCCGCCGCCGCCTGATCTGCAACCGACAGTCGTCACTCCACCGCCGCTCCCGCGGCGACGGCGCCGGCGCCTCGACGGCGACTCCTCATCCGCCGCCGCCGCTACCAGCAGTGCCGCCTACGCCGCCGCCGCCACTGACGATGCGCTGGTTGCCGCCGACGGCTCCGTCGACCCCGCCGCCGCCGCCGCCGCCGCGGAGGCCCAGTGGTTCGGGCGGTGGAGCGAGGCGCGCGTGCTGCGGGCCGCCAGCCGACTGGCGCTGGCGGGGGCGGAGCTGGGGGGCCCGGGGCTGAAGCGGGCGGTACGGCAGGTGGGGGGAGGGGGGAGGGAAGGGGCGGGCGACGGGGTGGGGGTGTTTCGCTACCTGCACCGGAGCCGCAGAACGGACCCTGACAAGGGATGTGGGAAGTGCCGGCGGAAGGGGCTGTTCCAGAAAAGAAAGTCGGTAGGAGCATACCGCATGTGCCTGGTGGTGGTATGCTGCATTAGCTGTCCCCTGTTGCCTCTGCAGTGCGTGACGTGTCATGACTCGCTGCTACGGCTGCTGCCCCCCACCACTGGGACGCTAACCACCTCTTTAGTTTGGCACCCTGCCACCTCCTATCCCCTTGCTTTGCCCTAACCTGTGGTTTCCTATGGCCTGGTATGGTCTTTGACCCCACCCCTTCCTCGCCCTCGCTGGCTGCCCACGCCCCCAGGTGTTGCGGGTGGATGGGTTCCGCATGCTGCGCTGGCTGAGGCGGCAGCGGGCGGAGGTGGCGGAGGTGGCGGAGCAGCGGCAGCAGGGTAGGGGAGGGGAGGGAAGATGAAGGGGAGAGGGGGCAGGGGCGAGGTGACGTGTCGAGGGGTTTACAGTCTAGCTGGTCCCAGCGGTCACCTCTTGGTCAAATGTAGTTCTACTACGGTACATCCACCTCCTTAACCCTTTGGTTCATAAGTCTCTTCATGTTTCACGCAAACACCTGCCCATCCCCCACAGACTCCCCGCCAAAGCAGTCGGTCGACGCAGCGGAGGCCGCCAAGCCACCATCCCGCCCTGGTGATGCCGCTGTCACCTCGCAGCCGCCGCCACCTCCGCCCTCCATGTCGTTCATGGCCCTCATGCTGGATGCTCTAGTGGGCGACGAAGGGGAAGCCAATTGTTGTCGCCCCCGCCTTGATGAACAACAACAACAACAATCGCTGACTTCAGAGGACGCCGGGGCCGCTGGTGCCGACGTTGCCACTGCGGCGGGCGGCGGAAGTGGGGAAGGCGGCTCCTGTTCGTTTCCCAGCTGTGTCTGGCCCACCACGTGGCTAGATACGCCAACTCTTGCCCAATCCGATGAGCCCGACGCTGCTAGTGTTTGCAGCGGCCTGCAAGGGTGGTCTAACGAAAACGATACGGCGGCGGCAGCGGCAGCGGCGGCATCGCCCCCCAGCGGCGGCGGCGAGGAGGTGCCGCGGCTCTGGAGGCGGCTGTACGACAATACGGTGTCCGCCGCCGCCGGCCTCGTCGCCACCGGAGGAGGCGCTGCTGCCAATCCCAGCTTGCAGACGTCGACCTGCGTGATGTGCGGCAACGACGGTTGTTCGTCTCGTGGAGCCGATGGGGGGATAGTAGAGGCAGCAGCAGACCCGGTGTCGTCGACTGAAGACGGATTGGACCCGTTACTAGAGGTTGGTCCCGCGCAGCTACTGGCTCATGCCGTGCTCAGCCATGTTATCGCTGCCGCCGCTGCGGCGGAGGTGGCGGTAGCGACGACGGAGGCGGAGGCGGCATGTCGTACACCGACGGCCGCCACTACCGCGGGGAAGGCACTGGCTTCTGAACTTGTGAAGGCTGCTGACGTCAGGAACGGAACAGGCGTGACAGAGGGCGCGGAGGTGGCGCGGGGATCGCTTCTAGAGAAGCGTTCGGCAGCGGTGCTAACCGGGGACGCGTACGTGCAGCCCGGCCGCTGCCCGTCACTGCCACCACCTGGTGAGGATAGGCATCCGGTTGGAAAGGCGGGGGCAGTAGCAGCTGGGAACACTTTTGGATCAGCAGCAGCAGCAGCGGCAGCAGCGGCAGAGACCCGGGGTACAGCAGCACTGCTGGGTGAAGTGGCCCCCCAGCCGCTTGGTGTATACGGCGGCGCGTGCATGGCGGTAATGGGCACAACAGCAACAGCAGCAGTAACGGTAACGGTAGGAGGCGCACCACCCGGGGCGTCGTCTGGGGATTTGCCAAGGGGAGCAGTTGTCTTGACGCCTCCGCTAATCGGACCAACCGTTGCAGAAGCGGCACCGGCGATGACGGCATCATGTACGGCACCCGTCGTACCAGCAGGCGCATCAGCGAGGAGTGCGGAGGAGCCATGTACAGCATTACTGGCAGCTCGAAACCCTTCGGTGCAACAGCCGCAAGGTGCATTTGATACAACAACAATAACATCAGCAGCAGCAGCATTGGGACGAACTGCATCATCCCCGACGAACCCAGCTGCTGAAACAAGAGCTGTAAACGTGAGAAATGGTGTTGCTGGTGCTGTTGCCACCTTGGCGGCAGTACCAGCGGCAATGCAAGCACTGAACACGACGACGGCTTCCGGCTCGACGGCAGGATTGGCACCACCTCAAATGAAAGCAGGTGCGGCAGCCGCAGCAGCAGCGGGGGCGGCGGCGGGCGTTGCGGGCGTTACGGAGGCGCCTGTCGTACCACCACCCAGCTCCCAACAACCGCAGCATGCCGTGGCATCCTTGGTGGATGGCGACGCCTGGGGGGGAACCAGCTTCGCTGCCGCTGCTCCTTCTTCTTCCCCAGCGGCGCCGGAAACACTTCCAGCTCAGCTGCCGCCGCCTCCACAGATGGTGGCTGTGACAGCGGCGACCGCAGTACCTGCTGCTGCTGCTCCTACGGGGGCTCCGGGGGCTGCCGGCGCCTCTCCTAACCCGCCGCCCTCCACCGGTACGACAAGCAGCGCAACAGCCGCACCCGCTGTCGTACTGTCTACCGCGGCTGGCGCCTCCCTCCATGAGCCGCCGCTGCAGGTGCTGGGGCCTCTTGCTGCCGCCCCCCCTCCGGCAACTCCTCCTGCTCCTCCTCCTGCACGCCAGCAGCGGCAGGCGGCTAGCGATGGGGAGGAGACGGGGGGCCGAGCGGGGGCGGCAGCGGAAGGGGCTCTGGCCGCGACTGGGCAGCAAGCCGCGTGGCAAGGGATGACGGGCGGGGCCTCACCAGCACCAACAGCAGCAACAGCAGCAGTGAGCCCGGGGCGCACCCCTGCACCATGCACCGCTGCAGCAGTGGTGCCGGCAACAGCACCAGTAGCAGCAGCAGCAGCTACTGCCGCCGCCACTGCTCACCAGCTGCCGGTACGCCCTCCCGCCTCCCACGCGGTGCCCGCTAGGTCGGGTGTGGGTGGGGGTGCGGGGCGCAAGCAGCGGCCGGTGTCCAGCCTGCCGCATGAGGTCTGCATGGTGGGTGCGCGGGGGGGGGGTGTGCGGTGTGGTTGAACTGGATTGGATTGCCGGCACTAAAATAGAGTTGAGGTTGGGCTGGGAGCGGCAATAACCATTGCGGCATTAGATTGCCAGCGGCATTTGGTCCACCCGGGTGCAGCGGTCTAATATGCGGTTCCTTTTCTTACCACCCTCCCGGCACCCCTCACCTTACCCCAACCCTACGCCCGCTCTGCTCGGTCAATTGTATACCCTCGCTCATCTCTCCCTCCCTCCTTGTTGTTTCCTCCTCCTACTACTTACCCCACCCCCCTCCCACCCACCCGGCACCAGCATTGCTACGAGGCCCTTCCCGCGGAGGCATGCGGCGCAGCGGACCCGCCCCACAGCACTGTAGCCCCTCCCGGTGGCAGCAGCAGCGGCAGCGGCAACGGCGACCCCTCCTCCCCCGCCTCCCCCTCCTGGCGCTGCGAGGGCCCCTGCCGCCGCCCCTTCCACACCTCCTGCGTCCGCCCCGCCAAGCCGCCCGACAAGTACGCGCCCCTGGCCGCCCGCAGCATCTGCGAGCAGTGCTTCCGGGACTCCCACCCCTGCTCCCTGTGCGGCCGGGACGCCGCGGGGGAGGGCTCCGAGACCGCCGCGGGGCTGGTGAAGTGCGGGCTGGCGGCGTGCGGCCGGTGGTACCATGCGGAGTGCCTGGCGGCGCATCCCCTCACCAAGAAGGCGGCGGCTGCTGGTGGTGGGGGTGGGGGTGCAGGTGTGGGCGGCGGCAGTGGCGGGCGGGGACGAGGTCGCGGACGAGGCGGCCCCGGCGGTGGGCGCGGAAGCAGCAGCAGTGGTGCTGGTGGTGGTGCTGCTGGCGGTGGTGGTGGTGGGAAGTTCCGCTGCCCGCTGCACACGTGTGCGGTGTGCACGGGCAGCGGTGAGGGCGCGGCGATGATGGGCTGCGTGCGCTGCCCCACCGGCTACCACGTGAGGTGCCGGCCGGAGGGGGCGGCGCTGCTGGCTCGGAAGCTGCTGATGTGCCCCGCATGCAGCAGCAGCAGCAGCCAGGGTGGGGTGGAGGGTGGAGGGGGAGGTAGGGAGGAGGGAGGAGCTGCGGGGGTAAAGCGGCAGCGGCGTTAGTGCTCGGCCTGGAAGATGTGCAGTGCTGCGCGCTGTGTGTTGCGGGGGGGGGGCATGATGTACTACTGCAGCGGCAGTGTGTTGTGTATGAATGTGCAAGTCTGATGAGTGCAGTGGAAGCCTGCAGTGGAAGCCTGCAAGGTTGCAAGCATGCGTGTAAAGTACGGCAACAGCAGGCTAGCAGCCGGTAAGGACATGTACCAATACATGCACATATGGTAGGGGCCATGCACGGCCGGCAGGCCGACTAACACTTCTTCCTCTGGCTGTTGTTCCTTGTATGTTTCTTAGCTGTGTGAACCCCTTGAGTGCAGACGCGTTTGGCACGCACGGGTGTTGGCTCGCCCCTAAAGGGGTGTAGTCTTAGTGTTCGGATAAAATGACCCGGACCGAGGCGTTTTGACCGTGCCCTTGTACCATACCCGATTGATATCTTGTCGGCGATGCGGTCATTTAGATCCTCCGAAGCGTTGGACCTTTGCGGAGGAGTGTCTGGTTTAATGTAGTGTATTCTGGTCGAAGTGCGTCTCAGGGGTGTAAGGTGCGGCTGTCCTCGCACAGGCGTCGCCTAAGTAAATTTCCCACCACTGTCCCAATTGTTATAGCAGACATCGTTGGTTATCTTGTTAAAACAGATGACCATGTAAGGTTGTTACCCTACAGGTAACAACACAGCTTGTTTTGTTTGTTCGCCAACTTCGCCTACCGGTGGCCGTTGGTTTACCAGCATGCTTCGCCATACCACACGTGCGCACAGCTGTCTGGGGCTGCCCAGGCCCCAGGTTCACGTTAGACGACCTCAAACCGACTTCCCTGTATGGATCTGTTGAGGCCCGCGCACGGCCCTACAACCTCGACCCCTGCCAACGGTCGCCAGACGCGCTGGGCGGCTCCGGAGGTTCTAGCCGGCGCGCCATCCAGCGAGGCGGGTGACGTGTGGAGCTTCGAAGTGCCGTGCCGGGAGGTACGTTGCAGCAGCTTGTAGTAACGCCGGCGATGTGACTGGCTGACGGCGGCTTTTGACGCTGTCTCTCTTCATACGGCGTACCGCCCGAACGTAAACAAGGAGGTAGTGTGGTTGATGTACCGGTATGTTCACAGGGGTGTCTCATCTGCTGTCTCGTCTCGAATCGTCTCAGTACAGTACTGGGGCAAACGTCACCCGTGGTTGGGCTTGCATGCTGCTGGTGTACAGGTGCTCTTTGTGTCATGGTGTCTTTGTGTCATGTCTTTGTGTCATGAAGGCGGGGACTGCGGGGCCTCTCCCTGAGAACGGAGGGGAGCAGGAGGGTGCGCCGGCTGAAGTTGGTTGCCGGGTAAAGGGAAGGGACACGGCTGGAGTGTGGCCCGTGCAGCGGGGCGGTGGGATGCCTGGGCGGCGTGTTGGGTTGGAGACCTAGGCATGGCGGCTCGGTGCGCATGTGGGGGGATGCAGCGTCAGTGCGCACGTGGGGGGGATGCGGCTCGGTGCGCACGTGGGGGGATGCGGCGTCAGTGATTGTCCCTTGCAAGCTGCGACTGCTGCCTGTGGAGGCTTGGCGGCTAGGGGGTTCAACTCCCTCGGGGACAAACGAGGATTCAACCGGGCGGGAGTGGCATGTGCGGGTAGATCAGCACCAGCAGCAACCAGCGGCGCTTCCACATTGGAGAAGCAAATGAGGAAGGACAACACGGGCCGGGGAGCAGCCTGGAGAAGGTGGGTGTGGGGAGAGGGCGGAGGGTAGCCGCGCGGCAGGACAGGACACGTGGAGGGCGGTGTGGAGGGGCATGGGGGTGATTGACAACTGTGGGGACTGGTGGGGTTGGCGGCGCGTGAACAATTGTACAGCGCGTACCGTATTGGCCCTCCGGAAGTATGAATGGTTGCAATGTGTACGGCTTTATATAGTGTACGTCTTGCTGCAGCGAATGTTGCCTTGGAGATGGACGCTAACGGCTGATTGATGACGTAAGCCTTACAAGGGGTCGCTAACTGTCGCACTGCATTGCATCGTGTTAGGTGGCGACAAGGAGCAACTCTGTAAAATTTTACGCTTAACTGGTGGTACGGTCGCCAAGCTAAGATGGCGCCGATGTGATTCGCCAAGCCCGCACCGGGAGTGACACTACCTAGCTTACGAACGACGTGTGTCCGCCTACGTATATCTAAGCAGAACAGTTGGGACACTGCTTTCGACGGGTGCACGTCCTCGTCATATGGCAAGTGATGCCATCGGTAACCATTGCCGTAACCTTCCATTAGGCCCTCCGGTTTTGGGCGTACAGTGCTACTGGGGATACGGCAACGAAAGTCCGGCCATAAGTACTCGTGATGCCCTGCTCTATCACCTTTTTCTACTGCAACAAAACCAGTTCGTTTATACTTATCGCGGTTGTGTCTTGGGTTTCAAAGTAATTCAGGGATAAAGGTCATAAGCGACAGCCTCCAACTCTCCGACGTCCACCGATCGCCAGGTCTTAAGGTACGTTACCGATAAGCTGTAAGTCTACATCTCGGCGAATGGCGCTGTAATGAAAAAAGGTTGGGGACGCTGAGCTCTGAAGCATACTTCCCGACTTTAATCAAAATCTGCAGGTCTGCCTTCAATTCATTATCAACCTTTACTGAAGACATTACCGGTAAGTGAACACAACAATAAGTCGGAACGGGTTGGGCGACATTCATTCATCGTCCGCAGTTTTAGGCCTCAACCCTGACGCTTGTTTGCCCTACACATATAAGTTGCATCTATAGCATAAGAACGATTGCATGTAGCTCGAATTCTATAGCGGTGCGTCGGGCACCCGCCGATTGACATGTTAATGGCTCTGGTGCGTGTGTTGTCCCCGAATGAGCTGCGCAGCTTTTCCTCGGCCCTTTCTTCACAGGGACATCGCTTCAGACCGCAGCTTTAGAATCCAACCAAGGAGATCAAAGTGTGCGGATGAGTCAACAGCCGGATATGGATCCCAGCTCACATGCATGATACTGATAGAGCTTGCCGCGTTCCAAGGGCCGTGTAGAGGTAAGTCGCATTGGTCGCTGCTCTTGTATCCACATGTGGGCTGTTCGTGCCCTTTAAGGTTGGTCGGGATCCGGCAAAGGCCGACGTATGGCCGATTTGCGGTACCTAGGGTTCGGGGTTGGATTGGAGCATAGGCATACTTGTGGAAGCCCGACCATGTGCTGCGTAGCTTGGGCTGAATAAGACATGCACGCACGGCAAGGGCCGTGTACATTTAATAGGTGCCGGTACCGGAATAATCATGTTGCGGGCTGATGCCAGTCATGGTTATGGAAGTGTATAATGCTGCTGTGATGCCGCTGCTTTGTGACTGACATGCGACCTTATCCTGCCCCCTGCAGATGCATGGCCAGCAAGGCGGAACGAGTTGGAACGGCGACGTATCCTCAGCCCACAAGCCTCATCGCCCCCTTTGACTACCTTTCCTTGCGCCACCTCCGTCTCGGTTCATTGCTGTTCCACGTAAGTCGGGGGCTTGCCTCACGCGGTGTGCTGTACGTGTTGTGCTTTAGGGCGTTGAGCGCGGCTGCAGTTGGGTTACCCTGTGCTGCTCTGGCATCCATTGTCTTGGGAGCCTCGTACCGCCTGCAGCCGTTCATGTTGTGCTAATGTCCACCGCATTCTACCCCTCCCTCTCACCATCAACCCCCTCCCTTTCTCCCTCCCCCTTCGCATGCCATGGGTCGAGACCCCTCCGCCGCCACCACAGCGTTCGTGGACTTGGCGTACTTGGGGACAGATGACAGGACGGCGACCCCACCTTCGGTAAAAGCCACGCCAAGCCCGCCCCCGCTACCTCCACCCTTCATCACGTTGCCGCCGGCCCCTCAAGACCGACGTCGCCTACGTCACCAGCCCGCCTACGCTGCCTAACCGCCACGGCTTGGTGGTGCAGTTGCCACTCTGCGTGACGTGGGCAAGCTCGTGGCCTGCTGTGAACCCTTCCTTGCGATTTGCTGCCGTTGGGTAGTGGGCGCGCCAGTGGTATACCGAGCTGTGCTGTCCGGTTGGCGATGGATTTGGGGTAGGTGACGCAACGATTACTAGTCGCTACTGTGCTTGTCTTGCCGCATGCTGCTGGGTTGATGTTGGGATGACGGCGTTTCCGTTTGGCTGGAGGTGTCTCTGTTGCGGACATTGTTACCGGGTTTTGCGACGGATTTGCGGCAAGATTAGCTGTTCATTGCGACGGGTTTTGCGGCGGATTTGCGGCGATGTGATGGCGCTGACAGACGCTGGGCGACAGGTAGACGGTTGCGTGGATGTGGTACTAGTCGCAGCAGCAACGACTTGAGTTTAGACATTAAGGAGGAATTAAGCTGTTAGGGGTCAGAAGCATGCGGTAGTTACCGGTAGCAATGCATAAGGTGGGGGAATGCAGGCGTTTCAGCCTTGTATGCTAGTCTCCTACTCTTGTCATGCCGCGCAGGGGATAGTCTTTTGGCGGTAGCACCGCTCATGGGGTTTCACGGATATGATAGGGGCTTGATGTGTTGTGAGCATGACAGGCGGCGCGTTACCGTTGGTTGGTTGGTTGATTGCACTTGCTGCTATTTTGCGCCTCATGCCCTCTGCAGCGCCCAGCAGCTCACA